GGGGCTCCGTGCGGCTTCGCCCACGCTCCCTGCGCCGCCCGCGCCTCCTGCCGGGGCTCCCTGCGCGCCCCGCTCCCGCTCCCGCCGCCTCCTCGCGCGCTCCCCGCGCTCCTCCTCGCGCCTGCCAAGAGAGGGCACCGCGGTCGCGGCGGGTCCCGCGGTCGCGGCGGGTCCCGCTGCACAAAGTCTGTTTGCAACAAGTTGCTGGGTCTTCCCCGCCCCAGCAGCCGACAGTTACAGGGCCAGGGGCGCAGAGGTGCACGCTCCCAGGGCAGGATTGCACCCAAGGACTGAGCTCCAGGAGCAACGCCTTTACTCCAAACCTCCCAACCGTTGCTAGAGAAAGAAAAAACTCTGTATCCAGCAATTAACAGTCCTGACCTCTGCTTTAAAATCATTGAGGGTTAAATTCAACTCTGCAAACTGTGTCAGTTTATAAACACTTCTTTTTTCCCCGTGCAATACAAGTCAATGTATTTTATCTTTAAGAGTAGCTTAAATAAAGCATTACTACAACATCCCCTGCTTTCATTTCATGAGTTATGTTGCACTTAAAGCCCAGTAGCAACTACTATTTACCAATCTTTTAGCGGCAGATAATCACAGACTAGCTATGAAACCCATCCATCCTGCGAGCACCGAGCTGTGGTTGTGCGTGGGGCAGCGCTGGGGCCCTGGCCGCAGCCCTGGCTGTTCTGTAGCAGCCCCACGGAGCTGCCCCACAGCACAGCAAGACTCAGGCTGCCCCTTTGCTTTTCCTGCTTCTTGCACATCATGGTGCAGGACTTTATTCTTGCTTTATTCTCCATCATCCCTGTGGCAATTAAAATTTGCAGAGGTGGAAGGCATGAATTACACCAGATGCTGCTCTCAAACTCTGGACCAAGAGCAAAAGACAACCAGTGCTCCATAAAAACACACAAGGGTGTTTGACAGTTTCTATTAGAGGAAAACAAACTGTTCTTCCCTGCCAGTCATTGCCAAGCAGAGGAAATGGGTCAAAAACCAATGTTCTCCAAACCCTCTGACTGCCAAAACGTGAAGTGTGATCCAGGGATCCATCCATCCATGAACCATCTCTGAATACTGAGTTTTTCCTATTATTTTATTATGTGAGAAATACATTACTTTTGTAGTTGTTCTATGTACTGAGGGACCATCACATTAATACACGTAAGAACCACTGGCACGGGTCTCAAAGACAGAGGTAACTACAGGCACTAGGCATCAAAAACTGCAAACTGCCTCAATTTGTCAAATCTAAGCTTTACCAAATAAAGCATTACAAAAGGCAGAATGTGATTTAATCTCAAGGCGGGTGTCCAAAGGGTGTCAGCTCCCTATTAAGCGGTGGAAGGAATGCAAGTTTGTATGGAAAGAAAACTTTAAGAAAAAATGAAAAAAATAGCTGACAACCTCACACAGTATCTCCTCTTGTTTTAAAAACCCTCTGTCTCTTCCCTTGTTTATTTTTTAGATTTCATTATTTGACATTATTTATTGTTTAAAATAAAGTGCTTATTTTAAATAATACATTCCTGTAAAAAGGTCACTATTCCTATTGCTCTTGGTTGGATAGCTGGGACAACTTGAGAATGCAAAGAACACCGAAGGTAAAGATGCAGTCAACCAGTTTCGGAGATGATGAGGAAAAAGGGTTAAATACCTTGCCAACATTCAAATTAACAAAAAAATCCAAATTAACACCTTGTCAGCCTGAACACTCAATACACTACCATTAATCTCAATACCTTTATTGCAGTATTATATCAGGCACATAATAATATAATTCAGCTACATAAGCCTTACCTTGGCAGCACAAGCACCCAGGGCCATTATGTGTGTATATGCTCACAACAAGTGAAGAGAAAAATCAGTAGTGGTGAGGTTTGCAACAATAGTCAGCAGGAAAAAGCCACTGAATTTACTAATTGTTTCTATTGTTAACTATATTACACTGTGTATAGTATATACTATATATAGTATTACCCTAAATCACTCTACTAACCTTTCAGTTGGGTAGGACTAAGTTGTCCATTCTTCCCTTTGTTTTTCTTCATAGGTTCACTTTCAAAATGTTAGGATCCCTACATTTCTCCAGACAAAATTCTGATAAGTGATCATATATGGTTTAACGAGCTACCAGAATTACATGAAATGCAAGTGAAAAGAGCAATACTGTGAAGTAATGACATGTAACAAAAACAGCAACATGAAAAAGGCAGTTTTGAAGTACACAGCACAAGGAGTTCTAAAAGTTCTGTATTCCAACACTTTGGAAGTGTACTGCAGCGTGTCCTGGCACCTGAGAGGCTGCATATCTTAAGAATGCCTGCAGAAATCTTTCACCAACAGCACTTTCTTGCTTCTGAGAGCTTTCTGAACAGATCTAATGCATGCAGTGCAAGCCCAGCTATGCTGGGGTTCTGTTTTGGCTAGGCTGCAAAAGGTTGTTACTAGCCTGAAACTTGAGCATCTTGAGGCAGCTTCTCCATAAGGTTTTTCTTATGGTCTGGAAGGGCAGAAGTTTAAACAGAACTACAGGCATTCCATTTAAACCAAGCCCAACCTTTATTGGAGATATTATTCCCCTCATCCACACATTGCTAAGCCAAATTAACAGCCTCTATTCTTTCCTTGCAATCCTGTCACCAAGCCACAAGTTTTTACCATAGTAAAAGTTGCTTAGGGTCACAGCTCTGTGCCGAAAACTTTCCCAAGTTCTCTAGCAGAATGAATCATTTATTTGTTCTCACAATGGACTTGGGAATCATCTGTTGGTGATCTGTAGACAGGATTAATCCTAAATGCTGGAGAACTGAAATAAACCCATACTAAGCTCCTGTAGACTGAACAATTCCAACTGGAATTCAAGCATGAATGCCTCAGTCAAACCACTCTTTGCATAATCACAAGTATGTACATATATGTAACAGCAATAAAAAGAATAACATCCCTTAAATTCATGATATCTATTAATTGGTAGTTTACCTTTCAGGAATCCTAAAGTGTTTTTTTCTCATATAAAGACATCTGTATACTCAGAACTTTAACTCTGTATACTCAGAACTTTAACTCTGTATACTCAGAACTTTAACAGTCACAGACTGAATCATGAAAAAAAGTGAGAAGATGCTCTGTTAAAAAAAAAAGAATGTAACAATAGCTACGAAGTTGTTTATCATCTCTCAGTTTTCAGAGCACTCTCCTCCATCTACCAGAAATTGTCCCTGATCCCCATTTCTTCAGCTCATCAGGGATAGAATCATTTACTGCAGGCACTATAAATAATAAAGACTATGCTTATGGAATTGAGGAGAAATGGAATCAGTCTTCCAGTGTGCTCCACAGACATCCCAGCAGCAGTCTACCCTCTTCTTGCTTTCCGTGCAAAGGTCTCAATATCACATAATATAGTAGCAATAATTAGCAGGACCGCCGCTAAGTAGCCAGCACTAAATAAAAACTGAACAATATAAGTTACTGGTGTTTGCTGTGATGAACAAGTGGAAAGTTGTGTTACAAGCAACACCATCCAGCTCTGTGCTCTGTAAAAAAGGCACTGCAAAATAAAGACTCCTTCCCAACTATGATCTGAAGTCACAACCTCCTTCATTTGAGATCAGCTCAAAGTTGTATAGAAATTAATATAACAGAACTTACCTGGAGAGGGCACAAAAGAGAATGACATGAAAGAGAAAAGCAGCAATACTTCTCAGTGTTGCTCTGGGGATTGGTATGTGGCAATGTTCAAAAACAAAAACACTGCTCCTTTCTAGATAGAGACTGTGACAATTTTATGAAGACCTGCCTTTCTCAAGGTAATTTCTGAACATTAAACATTAAGCAGGTGGTCACTCCCAGTGTACTCCAAACCATCTGAGAAAGTGAGACTGCAAAGTGAAAGACATGGCACTAGAACAGTTACCCAGTCAGATTATTTAGGAACTAGTGGGAATAAAATACTGGATTGTACAATATCACTTTCAGACTACAGTACCAATCACCCTATAGGCACTATTTAAGATCACTTCTCAACATCCAAGTCCATCCACTTCAACTGTTTTGGACAGGACTTGGATGTCTGCAAGAGAAAAGTAAAAAAGTTTATGAAATAATTGATGTGACAATCTGCAAGAAGTCAAACAGCAAGTTTCATCAGATCATCTAGTAGAAGTGATAATTACCAAAGCAAAGGTTCAATTCAGTTGGAAATTACACACACTTAGGAAACAAAACAAGATATAGGAACAAGAATGACTTTATTTGTACTTGAAATTTTACATTAGAAAAACTTTTATTAGAGCTAGCAGGAACTAAACTGCAAAATTTTAAATCATAGCTAAAAATACAGAAGAAACCTCTGAAAACAGTCTATACTCATTTTAACCTTGCAAAGTGTATTGGCATCCACAGTAAGAAAAAAACATACAAAAGATTTAAAAATGCAGTGTTACAAGTTATTATATAATGGTCAGATTCTTCAAAAAATCCCAAATTATCAATATTTAAGTAATTCTTTCAAAGAACAGTTAGCCATTATAGCTTAAAAATGGAAATAAACAGTCTCACATCTAGTGTGGAAGGCTCAGTATCAGTAGGTGAAATATCACAGCAGACTGGAAGCTCTCACGATGGAACCCACATATTTCCATGGGTATCAGGGGCGTTGGTGTAAGGAATATTCCAAATCCATGGGTGATCTGTAAAGCAAGCCAGAAACACGCTCATGGAAAATTCACTTATCAATATGAAATTTTGATCTTCCTACTTAAAGCTCCCATCAGTTAGAGCACCGTACGTGCAATTTCAGCTTACAGAACACTTGGCTTTTTTCTTTTTTCAAATGTAAGATTTAACTACAGATTTGCTACAACAGGTTTTGCTTTTCCCCCAAGCGTTATTTTAAATGTAAATATCACAACATTACCCCAGCTGCAGAAGTTCATTTCAGACAGAATACAAGAACTGCAATGCAACCTAATCTGCTTTGGCTCAAAGGCAGCAACTTTCATGCTGCATCTCTCAACTCAATGGAATTGTAAGAAAGAATTATAGTATTTCTTTTTCACAGGGACAGAGAGAACTCAGTATATAAGAATGTCCCTGCACAAACTCAGAAATGTCCGAGTTCCTCACTTCTCCCAACATTACATCTTTAGATGAGCAATTGGTTTGCAGCAGATGGTTCCCTCCCTCCACTTCTGCAAGCCCAAGAGCTATTCCTACTTTCATGCTCTTGGAAAGGAGAACAGGCAAAGCAGCAGGAGCTAACTGATAACTTAGCAGCCTACTCTAGGCTCTTCCGCCCACCACATACACGTTGCAGAAGATCAGCTTGTTTAAGAAGCCAAATTATTATTCTACTTCCCTCAGGCTACTGATAAACAGAAAAAAAAATCCTGATTCAGAATGATCTGTCTCAAGCAAGTTCACGGAACTGTAGCCTCCAGCCTGGTTCACTTCCTGAGCCCACAAGGACGGTAACACTTATCTGCACGAGGCATGGGTTCAACTGAATTTACTGAAGATAACGGCATTTCACCTGTCAAAATCTGGCTGTTCTACACATGATAAACTTTATGTTAGTGAAGATTTGCTATATGCTTATCAGCCTAACTTTTAGGTAATCTATTAATTATGGCTATTGCTGTGCAAATTCCAAGTCTATGAGAGCCAATAGTAGTTTCCCTAAAATATGAAGTGGGAATTGCTGGTAGAGACAATAGGAGCAAGTGACAGGGGCAGCAGCAGAGGGACTAGCTTCAACACAGAGCACACAGTGACAAATGCCCAGGCAACTCACCGTATGGCTGGGCCGGGATCTGCACAAAGCAGCCCCTTTCACAGGCTGCCAGGGTAAGCTCAATTCTAGAGCACTTCTATATGGTGCTGCAAAACATCCCCCAGCCACAAAAGTGTTTTACAAATATGTCCATTTATGGTGGTAAGAGGGTGAGTGAGAATAAGAGCTTCCAAATTGCAACAATATTCAATCTGCTTGACATGGAGAAAAGACTCTACATTTAGATTTCCTAAAGACTGATGGGGAAGTTACGAGTCCCAGCAGCATAATCACTAGAGAAAGCACAGCCTACCCAACAAATGCCATCAGTGTTATAGAAGGACACCAAACAAAACAAGCATCCCTCTCTTCCCCCAGTTTGAAACCCTGATACAGTTTCTAGATGAAATAAATAGTCACCTGGCTCTCGGTAACCCCGGATAGGTGATTTTCAGGCACAAAAAAAAAACCCAAGCAGCTTCGGAAAGCTGTGGAAACTTCACATCCAGTTGGCACTGCACTGCCTCCAACTCTCTGGACTGGTTTTTGAGAAATCCAGACCAAGGGATCCCTTAAAGGAAGGAGCACCTTCATCTCTTCTTTAGCTTCTTTCACCTGCCTCTTCCTTGAAAGCCCTATGCATCATTTGTATTTTATGTGAATACCTTCCTCTATAGTGCTTATCACCTTCCCAACAATCCTACTACTACAAACTGCAATCCCAAAATTAAGACTAGAAGTCTAGACACAGAATAAACCTAGTGTTGGAAGAAGCATTAAGGCCTCCATGTATTCAAATTTGGGTTACTGACCCCTACATGTGACATCAGAATAAATCCAGTCCCACTTCAGGCATTGAACCCTGGGATCAGAAATACATTCTGCAGCTCAGACCTATCCATCTTCACTACAGTTTGCAGTTTTTCTGTTGAATTCAGCAGAAAACAGTCAGGGAGAGACTAAGAGGTACAGAAATAAGGCAGTTGCTTTAAAGCACTCCAAAAGGCTTCAACGTCTAATATTCAATTATTGAGTTCTATTTCATTGTGCCAATTCTTTTTCATTGTGCCAAGGCTAAAAAAAATATTGTTTTTCCCTCAAGATAGCCATCAATGTACTTGGAAGTTAGTTCTATTAATGGGGTGTTGTTGGCTGTATAATAACATCTGATGCTACTATAACAATGTATGTGTAAAATTATTACTAACACAGATTAAAATTCACTTTAGAGGATCTCAGTTGAGGCTTCCTGGATAATAACTTAATGACTACCTATTCAATTGCCTCATGGTACAGCAAATGAGTTCTGTGATCAAGAAAGTTATAATAGCTAAAAATCACAAATTGTGTGATGTTCCCCGACCACAGTGAGCAGCTTGTTCTCTTGCCAGTACTAAGAATCTCAGCTACCTCCCCTTTCTCTAATACGAGCCTGTTGAAAGAAACTTCTCTATGGGCCGAAACCAGAATGACATGAAAATTAATTCTCAACAAAACACTGTGTTTTTTCCGAGATCAGGCCAACCTGCATAGGAGAGATGTCACATCTCGCTTGCAGGTGTTAACATGATAAAAGAGTAGTCATCATCTGAAAGATTCTAATGGGAAATAAATCTAAGTATGACTAGCAACACACAAGGAATTTTAATTATGAAAAAAACAGCTAAGGTAGGCTGTTGTCTCTATACATCCAAAATACTAGACGGAATTATTACTTGTTTTACTTACAAAAAACTCTGGAATTATCACAAATTATATACTTGATCTGCAGATTTTGAAAGGCTTTCTCATCTGACTACTTCCATTTTTTTTCCATAGGCTTCTTTGCTATGATATTCTGAAAAAAGTCTAATATACAGAAGAGTTTACGAAATTATTGTACCAATATACTTTTTCTCTGTCAAGATACTAAACAATCTATCATCTACAATTATATTATTTTCCTAATCTCCACAAGTGCCCTGGATATCTACTGCCCTCAAACAGATTTCTGCTGTTGTACAAAGGAGCAATTTGTAAAGCGTTTATAACATACAAGCTGTACACAACAAATGTTATCTGCTAAAAGATTAATAAGGCTCAGAGTAGGAATGATCTTAGTCTTTGCTTCAAAGGTGCCAAATATGAAATGTGCATGCTATTCTGCAGCAAGATACAGAATGGATACATCATGCATAATAAAACTGTAGCTTCTTCCTGCAATTCCATTTCTCTCATTTTGTTCTGGTAATTTAAAACAGCTTGAAAGAAATAGCTTAAAAGACAAAGTACAGATTTTATGTGCAACTTTAATTTAGATGCCTTAACTACTTATTGTCATGCTTCCTCAGGCCTTAGCTACAAAATTTGCACTCTGAAGACAGAACACACAAAAGACATGCAAATACTACATCGTGCATTGTACACTTGTCCTGGAAAATAAGTAAAATAGGATCCTTACTTAGTCCTGCTTGACTAACCTCATCACCTTCTACGAAGGAATATCTAGCTGGATAGATGAGGGCAGAGCGGTGGATGTCATCTATCTGGATTTGAGCAAGGCTTTTGACACTGTCCCTCACAGCATCCTCCTGGGCAAGCTCCAAAGGTGTGGGATAGATGTGTGGACGGGGAGGTGGATTAGGAATTGGCTCGATGGCAGGGTGCAGAGAGTGGTTGTCAATGGTGCGGAGTCCAGCTGGAGGCCTGTACTTAGTGGTGTCCCCCAGGGGTCAGTTCTCGGTCCGGTCCTGTTCAACTTATTCATTAACGACCTGGACGAAGGGCTGGAGTGCTCCCTCAGCAAGTTTGCCGACGATACCAAACTGGGTGGAGTAGCTGATAGCCCTGAGGGCTGTGCTGCCATCCAGAGGGACCTGGACAGACTGGAGGACTGGGCGGCAACAAACCTCATGAGGTTCAACAGGGGCAAGTGCAAGGTCCTGCACTTGGGGAGGAATAACCCTGGACACCAGTACAGATTAGGGGTGGACCTGCTGGAGAGCAGCCCCGCAGAGAGGGACCTGGGTGTCATGGTGGACGACAAGTTGACCATGAGGCAGCAGTGTGCCCTGGTGGCCAAGAAGGCCAACGGGATCCTGGGGTGCATTAAGAAAAGCGTCTCCAGCAGGTCGAGGGAAGTGATCATCCCCCTCTACTCAGCCCTGGTGAGGCCACATCTGGAGTACTGTGTCCAGTTCTGGGCTCCCCAGTACAAGAGGGATGTGGAGCTGCTGGAGAGAGTCCAGCGCAGGGCTACCAGGATGATCAGGGGCCTGGAACATCTGCCCTATGAGCAAAGGCTGAGAGAGCTGGGTCTGTTCAGCCTGGAGAAGAGGAGGCTGAGGGGGGACCTGATCAGCGTGTATAAATACCTCAAGGGAGGCAGTGAGGAGGAGGGGGGCGGCCTCTTTTCAGTGGTGGGCAGGGATAGGACTAGAGGAAATGGCTTCAAACTGAAGCATCGGAAGTTCCACAGGAACTTAAGGAAGCATTTCTTCACTGTGCGGGTGACAAAGCCCTGGAACAGGCTGCCCAGAGAGGCTGTGGAGTCTCCTTCTTTGGAGATCTTTAAAACCCGCTTGGATGCACCCCTGTGCCACGTGCTCTAGGTGACCCTGCGTGAGCAGGGGGGTTGGACTCGATGACCTCTGAGGTCCCTTCCAACCTTCGGCATTCTATGATTCTATGATTCTTTTTTAAAACCACTGGGCTGACTGTTGAAACAAAATATTAAGAGTGAATTTGTCATCTCACAATACCCTCAAGTCCAGTAAGTGAAATATTTTCTATTAGGAATATTATTCCTAGAAACAGAACAGGTTTTATCTCAGAAGGAAGAGTGATCTCTTAGGGTTTGCACCATTTTAAGGTGAGAGGACCTGAAGTTCTCCAGAAATTCAAATATGACACAGCCAAGTTCTTTCAAACTTTAGAAAGCAGACAAGTCCCAATGTAGCTATACATTATCACAGAAAAAAAGGAGATACTTAGAAATATGAATGGCTTGCCCAGTATCATCTTCCATAATTTCAATCCCTTCACAAATATTTTAATTATATGGCAGAGGATTCTAGGACTTCTGCTCTTCTTTCAAAGGAGAGAAAGGTAGAGACAAAGGGCAGTCACATTTTCCCAGGGCTTTTCTGACCTCCCAAGGATACAGTAGGTCCCTGTAGAGGAGTTCATGGTAATAAACGATTCTTCTAGCTTAGCTGGACCAAACTCTAATCTCTTTTTAGGCACTCTGCACTAGGAAAGATAAAGGAAAGCCATCACAAGTCTTTAAGAAAGTTGTTTCCAGTTATAGGACAAAACCAAGTACGTGAGCAGACCAGAGCTAGAGACAAACTTGCAACAGTTCTTCCTATTTTAGTCAAAAAAAAAGTCAAACTGGTGCTCAGTGTTAAGTTACTAGTTCCCCAAAATCACTACAAATGTCTCCTAAATGTAATTTCACCATACTCCCAATTTCAACCCATTGAAAAACTAGACAGAATAACAAGTACTGAATATCTGAAATTACAAGGAAAAGGTCAATTTGTTCAATGCACCCTGGAAATGAAAGACTGAACAGCGAGCAGGGTTCTTCACAAGGGAGAGACCTGTTCACATGAGATGTCACAGATCCTTCTGTACATCCTTGAGCTGAAACAGTGCCTGTCACAGACTGCAGACATTAGCTAGTGTGTAACTAATAAATTGCTAAGTGAGCTGCTCATTTTTTCCAAAATGCTTTAACTTGTATTAAAGCAAATTTCCATCTTTTTTGCCCATTGTTCTTCAAGTCTCCCATGGCATGGGATTAGACAGTTTTATCCCACAGTTATTAAGGGTAAAATTGATTTCCGCTGGGAAATAATGAAATGCATTTTAATACATTTTCAGAAATTGTTAGAATGGCTGAGGAAAAGTCCTCTACAAAAGGGAAATAACTGCAGACTAGCACAGCTCATATAATTGCTGTATTTATAGTATAGGCAGTAACTTTAGTTTCATCTGAACTCAGCTGGAACCTCTCTTGACCTCCTGTATGAAGATACATTTTCTGTATGCACCGTACAGAAAGCTGAACTGGAAGTAGCTGCTTAATGAGAAGTTACTTGGTCCCTACTTTGTAAGTGTTCCCCCTCACTTCCCCACAGGGTTTCAAAAGTTCCTGAACTTATTTTTTTAAACAGCTTAGAAAATGCTGATATGAATTCCTAGCTTGAAACTCGGTCATAATTTAAAATATTAGTCTATGGAGTTAAAATCGGGCACTACACTTGATACTAAACATTTCTGATGTGATTGCTGACAGATACCTTAAAACTTCTCACCTCAACTTGAAGGGATTATATTACTGCCAGCAATTGTTTTCAGACAGATTTTAATGTTGTTCTGTCTTCCCTGGAGGCAGATTTAAGGACTTTGGTTGGCATAAGCAGGTGGAACTTACCTGCACATGTATGATAAAACACAGCCTTGTAGAACAGTAAACAGGAAACAAAAGCTAGAAATACAACTGCAAGCTATGTGAAAGTCACCGGAAAATACTAAATGTGCTACATGCCACATAGGGGATAAAGCATCATTACCATATCAGAAGCATCTTAAAGCACATCTATACATCTTTCAGCAAGTAAAGCAACAGTTTAGCCTACAAGTGTATTTCAGTGGAGGATAACCCCGCTTTCTGTAACAAAAAAGTAAAACCAAAGTTGTCTCTCCACAACATTCATTTGTACTGTTTAAAATTTTGGGAAGAAAAAAGGAAGAACAAAGTCTTCATAATTGTTTCTTCAAGCAAGTATCTTTCTGTTTTGCCTAGATCTAGGATTTAGAATGAAATCCACTCTCTAACTCATGAGACAAATGAGACCTACAGGCGAAGGTCTCATTTTTTCCTCCTTCCTATATGGTGTAAATGAATTAGATCAGGGATCAAATTATTTCACTGTTACTGAACTTAAACTTTAAGAGTTGTTGGATCAAACCCAGATGGACTATTTACATTATTTATTGATGAACTTACCACTATCTGCTGAGAAGTATTTTTATTGCTTTTCAAGATACAGTTATTTCACTGTAACAGCTTTCACACTGGAGCCCAGGTCCAATCTGCTGAATAGCAGCTAACACAACAGATAAAGGCTCCACCACAGGATAACCCCGAACCTGCTCCAGTAAAAGCATTTCCACAAATTAAGGACCAGCTTTTTCTTTCCCTTTGTCTTTCACCATTTTACAAGCAACCTACACTGCTACACTGGGTGCATCTCATCTAAGATGTGAATTTGCACACGCACAGGAAACGCCGACATACTTTGGTATAGCTACCTTAGAACGTGACAGGGCAAATGTCTGGTCCTTTTCTGACCATCTGTTCCTCATTCTCTCAATTTCTTTTGCATCCTTGCTGCAGAAAGGGATTTTCTGATTATAGGAAAATGGTGTGCTGCTTGCTTTCCCATGTTGAGAAAATCTGAGTTCATGGAAAATCCCCCGGAGCATTTTCTCCTTCAATTACAGGGATCAGTCAATATGGTTTCTTTAGGGAAAGGATAATTACTTGTATCTCTGCTTCTCAAGACTTCATTAAAATGAATCTATTTTTATATCCTTTTCTAGAGGCTTAGGGAGTTGATAACCATACTGTTAAGGATAGATTATTTTACGATGACCCCATCTCATAACATAGGCATTCTTTAAACATCTTTTCCACCAGGAGGCTTAGAAACACAAAGAGAATATTCAGGAAAGAGGTGGAAAGGAACAGGTAAGCTGGTATTGCTTCCATTGAAGTAAATTCCATTCAATTCCATTCCTTTCAAATGCTTTTTAATGGGAGAAAACAGAGATCCAAAAGCTGAGCGACTTCCACAAATAAGCTTCACACAACAGGGAAAGATGGGGAAAGAAAAAAAATAAAAGCATCTTTTATATGACCACTGACCAATGTCAGTGATGCACTAAGTAAAAACGTCAGAATTAAAACAGAACCAACATTAATTGTTTAACTAAATCTTAGTAGGAAGACTAGGTGTAGTAGATTTGAGAACACACATATCTGTATTCTCATTTTCAGCTTTGTGTTTTTGAAAATTTTAAAACAAAGTATGACATTTTAGAAAAACCTTTTGAAAAGCCTAAGTTTGGGCAATAGCTACCAAACAGACATCAGTGCCTACACATTCCAGAGAACAGCAGTCACAAAGACTAAAAGGATTCATCCACAGGCACAGACACCCACAGTACGCCCTGGATCATCAGCTAGTATGTGACCTCTAACAATAAATTCCTAAGACCTGAAAGTCAACCTGATAATAATGATAGCAACATTTATTCTCTTTAATTAGCAAGTAATCCAAACAGAATAAACCAATCTCTCCCCCAAACACTAGTTAGCTTAACAATAAAATATTTCTGTTCACCTCTCAATATCCTAGAAACCTGACCTAAAAAAGCATATAACAAGAGTATATATTTGGTGCAGAAGGTGTTTTCTGTAGAACTAATTTGTTGGTGGGCAAACTTGTGAGTGTACATACAAGAAAAAAAAAACTCTGGAAATGGGTATGAAAGAAATACCCAAGGCAAATGTGAAGTTAGGAACACTGCTGCAAATCAAAAGAAATCTGTTTTCCTAATGTTTAACATTATGGAAAAGAAGTGAAAAAACAGTATTTAGCTTGTTGATCCAGAACCTAAGTAACAATAAAGCAAAATTAGACTCAAAATACTCTGTAATTGCTTGCTTTAAAGCTGCAAGCAAAACATGGAAGTGGTATCACAAGCACAAAGTCAAACCAATAGTGTTAAAATCAAGTTTTGGAACGTAAGTTTTCAAACAGCTTGTAAAATCACTCAGAATAATTTGCTCTAAAGCAAACAAACTATTATGCTATATAGTATGTACATATAACCTGTATGCATACTATAGACATAATATATATAATACTATACCGCCTACTACTATAGAAGTATATGATACATACACAATTTTAACTTTCCCAAGGTACACCTTACCTTTGCTGCCGTACTGTTCTGGGGGCAGGTCATAAGGTACAGGAAAAGATGTCACCGGATCTCTACGCTCCGAATGCAGCTTGCCTTTTACATGGAAGTAACCTTTGTCCAAACCCTACAGAGGAAGGGTAATATAAAGAAGGTAAGAACTTATTAGTTTGTATGAGGGAGATGGTGTGAGAACCTAGTTTACTGTGCATACTTGCTCAACAATAAGAGTTATAGCCTTATTGAGGCACCAGGTACTTGCTAAAGCATCTTTTCATCTTAAGATTTCAGCCTCACTTACTGCTCCTACTTCAGTCTTTCACATTTGCTGGTTTGCCCCATAGATCCGTATCAAACATGTTCTACGTTCCCAGTCCTTTACACCTGTCTACTTCCACATTCAGATAGAAGATCTGCTTGAGGCCTTGCCTCTGTGAGCAAGGGACCTGAGGAAAGCCGCGTGTGAGCAAGGGACCCTACTGCTCAGAGAGACCAGAACAGTCACCCACAGCCTTCACTGGCACCATACAGGCAGCATATCCCCATACAGTGAAGCACTGCTTTTTTGGCATAAACACTTATGGACACTGGAATTGAATTTTGACTAGTAAACACACAGTGTTTAATACTTAATAAGAAAAGCTTTAAAAACCTCTCACTGTTCAATTTCATCTTGACCATATTAGATGTTTGTGTGTTTTGAGAACTGAATTAAAACTTTTTGCACAAGCAAAGCTTCAAAGCAGGCTTTTCAGATAATTTGGGTAAAGCCACGTGTACTAAAAGATTCATACATAAATTCAAGTAGTTTCAAATCATAGTGTGACAATGAGTTTCAAAAAGAGCTAAAGATTACAACTTAAGGACTCCAAAAGAAGACATGCTACAGTATAACGCAATAAAAGAACATATGAAGCTAACAACTTAAGTAACTCTGGCAAACAACAATGCTTAGCCACTTCTCCATTTATAAGTTTTAACAAGATTTTCAAAAGCAATCCCCAAAGGTGAGATTCCGTGGTGGTAGACAGGACAGCAACATAAATTCTTTCTAATTCAAATAGTTTGATCAGAAGACTAGGAATTTAAAGTTCCAATTCTTTATTCCAAATCATTTCTAAATTCTAGTGTTCCATATGAACATATGGACGCCTTAAATAAAAAGGCCTGAATGTTGACTGATGTTTCCATCCTTGCTGTAGCTGTCAGTCCAAGAGTTATTAGCCCTCTGTTCTGTGGCAGCACTAGCAAGTTCCATTAGTTTAAAAATCTAAGTGTCAACTGCATAAACAACACCATTTATAGACGTTACTTTTACTACCCTACAACTTCTTCTTTTACTGAAGGTTAATGTCATCAAAACAATAGTGTTGTAGATAAACTAGGAGGGGAGACTGGCGTCTGAGCACACAGTACACCAGAGGCAAAGCAGCCTCACACCTTTTCCCTCAATAATTTGGAAACAGAGTAGAGAAAAAGGAGCTGAATCAATATATATTAGAAACAGCTCTAGCTAACAGCCCACAATGCCCCTTTACAATACAGGACCTTATCTCATGACCCAAAATAACAGGAAATTAGTAGTTATGAAGTAGAAGATGGCACATATTACTTCAAAGGCGAGGTTAAATCACAGCTTTTTACAGGCAAGAATAGGATGGGGAGATGCTAGAGGACTGTCCCCACCAGTGATCGTTTCAAACATCACTTCCTTACACCTTTAGGGCAGTGGAATTTTGGTAAACGCCCATTAAAACCAAGCTACAGTCCCTTGTAGGCATGGACATTTAAAATAACGTTATGCCATTCAGAACATCAAGGCAGAGATACAAAGATTTCAAACAATCATAGTTGACTGAATTGAAGATTCAGAATTCTCAGAAAAAGATGACATTGAACCTCGTACAAGTCACCACTTGCCAGCTTTTCACTTAGATACCATGTGCACCTAGTGACAGCTGCTCAACATCAGAAGACACCTTCTCTGGCAGGTCATGAGTTATATACATACTATACATTTAACAATTTTTTAAGCATATATTCATCCACCCCTATATACATGAATACACACGAAGAAATATGACCAAAATCAAAGCTACACTACTCTTGCCTTGCAAAATCTAAGTTTACATTTTGTAAAGTCACTGCTATGAGAGCACACAGTGTACATATGAACTGCCACCCTAGACTCTAAACACCCACTTACCAATAGCAGTCAATTTAATTCAGACACCAAAGGCAATTCCACTCAATAGCCTAGAACAGAATTCACATCTATTCCACTCAAGTTCAAAGCTATGGGTGCTTCTCAGACAGCATGAAGAGCAAGCAGCACTGTATAAAAGTTTGCAGGACATTTTAAGTCACTTCTTCCTATGCATAATATCTTTTAATCATCTAATCTTCTAATTTTCATCTCTGCTTCATTTTTCTACCTACTCTGCCCCAGAACTATTTCAGTACATTTTCTTTTCAGGCTTTTTGCTTTCCTCACTTGCCCTGCACCTTGCTCTTGTCTTCTTGTTCTCTCTCAGTACTTCGTGATATTTTCTTGTTCCAGAAAAAGTCTTTTTTTTTTTCCTCTGCTGCTACTCTCCCAACCCACCATCAACGCATTTATCACTCAACTCCCAAATTGTCCCATTTGTCCCTCAGAATTCAACTTTTTCTATTTTTCTACTGAGGAAACACAGAGAACCCCACCACCACTTGTAACTTTTCCTCAAAACATGCTGGAGTAATAAAGTCTAGGTTATGGAATACATTCTGTAACAAGGCTCTCTAAGGAGATTCACATGCTTTTAAAAATAACTTTCGTGTGTCTATCTTTACACAAGATCACACACAAATTGAAACTAGTCACACATTTCGCCCGTTTCAAGCATTTCCTGGATGTTGACAGCTCTCAATAACATTCCCCAAAACAAAACAAACCAGCGGGGTCTTGCCTAAAAAAATGTTGCCTTCTAAATTTTCCTCTGAAACTACATTCTTTCTTCCAGAATTTTTCCTCTGCAGACTTTTTGACACTGCTGTCTACAGTAACGCGTTTTGAAGCGTTCAAGTGAGCAGTACAAAGTTTTTGTACCTTTAGCCTTGAAAATTCTTACTTCAGATGCTGCCACTACCTTTCCCAGTACCATTTCTAGTACCACCATCCACTGTAGAAGTAGGGCTGCCTGGAAGGGAAAATGAGGAAAGAGGAAAGGGAAAGGACTGCTTTTAAAATTCTGCTGTAAGATTTCAACTTTTACTGTTTGCCCAAAACCAGGTACACTAGGGCCTTTTTTTTTTTGAGCAGGGAATAAGTGCCATTCTTTAGCCAAAGCATCTAAAATGCTGCTTGATTGTACACTGTACAAGCAGTATAAAATCAGGTACTTAGTCTAAGTTTCATGATGAGCATGTTCCTATAGCCAAAAGGAAACACAAGAAAAGCCTTCCTCAGCCTTTTGAGAAGGCATTTATTCAAACTACAGCCTTACTCAACTGTATCAGTAAGGTTTTTTTTTTGTTTGTTTGTTTTTGTTTTGTTTTTTTTAAACAACAAGCTCACAGTGACAAATTCAGGTATCTATACTCAAGCTCCTGGGTCTGGAAAACAGGCCTCCACATCTCTACCAACTGAATTTTAAAATCTTGTAAAAGATTTTATTTACAAGATAAACAGTAAAAGCAAGCTTTAATATCCCAAAGTCCTTGTATAAAAAATCTAGTTTATCCACAGTGTATTTATCTTTTCCTATTCAATTCTATCTGAAAGTAGCTAAAGAGGAAACTGCCACTACATCATCTTGCAAGTTAAGTTTCCCATCAAGAAGCAGAACCTGCTTTAGTTGTGGTTTAAATTAATGCTGACTGCCATCTGACACAGATTCAGTTCATATCCCCTTTTCACAAGCAACTAAGCAGCAGTTTTAGCTTTTATCAGTCACAAAGTACCTATCAAAATGCAGTCTTTCAGGAGCTGAAATACTCATGCCTGTGTCTGATTTTCTAGAAGTACCTGTAGCATCTGACACCGTGAGGTAGCAACATCCCATCTAATTAAACGCTTTGTTTGGTGGCAACTATGATATTCCTCTGATTTTGTACTTCCCAATGCTCCCCGTCTAGTATTATACTAACAGGCCCTTTAAAAGTCAAGTATTTCACAAACATTTTCTCACCATTTTACAAAGCAAGCTCAGCTTATCCTACACCGTTATCAGATGCAGCAGCTGCCATGGTCCAAGGTTCTGCTTCAGCTGCCTACAGGAATTATCTGCTTCAAGTGTTTTCCATTCAACAGTCCAGGCTCATTCAAATATGGACTGTGACTTAATGTGGTTCCCAGAACACCTCCACACTGTTAAAGCCCCTATTGTCTCAAAAGGTTCTAGGTACTAAAGATGTAATTTATAGCAGCCTCTGGAAAGGAATCCCCAGCAGCTAAGAGCAAAGTGAATATGAGTGAGGGAAGAGGCAGAAGGCGAGAAGTAGAAATGGCGACAGAAAGGGAAACGCAGTTCAAACACAGGCCACAAGTGTTCTAGAAACATTGCTTTTTAATCAAGAGAAGCTTGTGATCTAATGTCAGCATCAGCTGATTTCTCCCTAAGCGCTAAAATTGCAAACGATGACAGCTGCTGCTATGTTGAGAACAACCATTCAACACAGCCCTGGGAGTCGGCACTAACGCACCAGGCCAAGGCCCAACCTCAAAGCCGAAGTTCTGGAAAGCACTTTAAGAAACAGAAAAAGCTGGCAAAAGCTGGCAAACAAGTGACCCATTTCCAAACTTTTATTCAGCAGAAAGTAGAAGGCAAACAGATGCTCATGACTAGCAAAATTAATTCACTATGATATAGTGTGTATTATGCAAGTCTTAATTTTGACTAAAAAAAGCATCTGTAACTGTGATCAAACCGCATGAAACAATCAGAAAAACAGAACTATCGAGAACTGAGTTGGCATTCAAACAGCTGGAGAGTACTGAGGCTCTCGAGAGGCAGGAATGCTCCAGTTAGGTGTTAAAACATTTCATCTACTTTGTATTCTGTGCATTTCTAATGATAAATATGCATTAAAAATCAGCTGCCAAAAGTAAGGTTGCCTTTTTCTAGCTCTCCATTATCCTTCACTTAACTAAACCTATTCTGCAATATATTATTTTAAAATCCCACTGAAGAAATAAGTGCCATGTACATAATATACTCTGCATTATAGTAAGTTATCTTAAATAAATTATCTAAAATAACTCACCTCTCCCTGCTTGATCTTCACCCTCCTCATACTAGCATCTCATGCTGAGTAGGTTCATGGAACCAACCCTTTAAGAAAAAGGTGAAATCAAAATATTTTGATCTGATTTGAAGCAGATTGGGATCACAAAGGTCAGTTCCTCTTACCTGAGGAGTAGAGCCTCACACATCCTTTGAGGAAACTACCTCAAGTTAAGGATGCTAAATTAATTCCCATTTAAAGATGTTTGGAGTTGTCATCTTGACGATGACGACTTGCCAGAAGCACTGCTGTGGAATAAAATATTACAAATCCATCTTATTTATGAAAAGCAGGTCACTGCAGTGACAGCAGCTTGTGCAGCTACACCTGAGGAAGCCTTCAACAAGCTAGTGTGGTATTTGTGACATGATTCTTGTCATGGCTCTGTGCTCCCTCCACTTCTTGGGCACTTCTCACCGAAGTCTCTGCTATAGCCACTGAACTCGCAGTTCTCAAGACAAGCAACATCTTGTGTGCATTAAGCTATTTTTGGTTTTCAGATAGAAGACTTATGCATGCATCGTAAGGATAAACTTACACTGCAATATATAAAGCCTGCCAATGTTTCAAACTTTGCTGCCTACAATTAAGATGTTTTCCTAAGCACTTATTTGCTTGCTGGCAGTGACTCATTTTCCTCCCCCCCGTTTCAGCAGACACCAAGAGTTTCCAAGCACTCCCACCATTGCTTACTTCTACTTGCATCTCAAACATGGATTTAGAAGTGTAAGTAGAGTTTTGAATATTTTAAGCCCTAACTTTTGCATTTAACACTTACTATGTTAATTTTTGTGCTAGTTTTCTACATAAATGAATCACAGCAAAGCACAGAAACTGGATCGTTCAAGCTACAATTTGTCCTTAAAAGACAAGAAAAAGCTGAAAACTCCAGGAAGGTGACTAGAATTTCATTATTACTGCCAGGTTGACTACATTTCACAGATAGTTGATAAAGCACAGGATAGCACTATTAGTTGCAAGTACCTGAAATCTGCTTTTCCGAGGTACAGCCAAACCCAATGTGATTCTAGGGAGCACTGGAGCAGACTGACAGCACAAATCCCCCTTCTCTAAGCTATCTGATGTTAGCTTGAAGAGCACAGCGTGTGATTCTAGCTACTGCCCCCAGTGAGCAGAGCAGATCAGTTCTCTCTGCTCTGCTACTACTGAAAAACAATGGAAAATACACATCCACTCACAGAGAATGAACCCACCTGGCATCTCCTGCTTGCCAGGACATCCTGAGTTTTCAGCAGTGACCCTTCTACACTAGGAAGGTTTACACACTGTCTGCTAATGTCCAAACAAGAATTCCATCTTTTCCTGACAGCGGGATTGGAACAGGGGAAGCAGGAATACCTTGACTGCCTTTTCCACATGGCTGATCAGAAGGGAAAACTGGATGCCAGTTCTCTTAAGCCTAGCACACCTACAGATTTAAGGTGTTTCCTTTGAGACCTGTTTTACAGAATAATAATAGAATCGTAGAATGGAGCAGGAACTGCCGAGAAAGACCCCAGAAAGATTCAAAACACAGAAGTTCCCTCTCCAAATCTCAACAGAATTGTCTTGTTCTTAAAGAGGCTCAGGGGAAGAAAGAGTTCATATTTTTGCAGTGTTTCACAGTGAAATCTTTCCTCTCATCAAAGGAGACCCAACCACTGCCTATTTTTCCTCTCACCCTGAAGAACCAGGGCTTGGGCCCCTGTCAGGAGCTGTTTACACAGAAACAGTACCTAGACAGTTCTTTGCAGTTTTCTTTACTAGTAAAGAATTCACAGGGGGATTTATAATGAAATATAGTTGCTCTAGAGTAATCTAGAGGACTACTGCATTTTCATACGTCAACAGGCCCGTAGGTTTCTGCTAAAGACTAAAACAGATGTGTAATGAGTACACAATAGGTTTCCCATCAGTTGTAAACACAGCTTAGACATTGGATTTAGATTTCACACATCTGGATGCAAAAGAGTAAGAAAAACTTCTCCAAGTAACTCTCAGACCCTTCACAAATGGCTAAATGGATTTTGTTCTAGCCACCTACTGGACTGTGAGTGGAAATATTTCACTTTTGGCCTCAACTACTTTTTTGGTGTTTGATAACAGAAAAGCCTAACTACCTGCTAAGGAAGCTGAAGTGTCAGCTTCAGTCTTCTTGTCATTTTGTTTTTTTCCCCTCTCTTTCTTCTGCTTTATAAGCTCCAGTTCTTTCATCTAGTATAAGATAACTCTGAAACTTTGAGGTAAAGTAGTTATGGGAAAAAAGAAAAACTACACAAGAATGAGATCACAAGCATTGAAGATGACTTAGGAATTTGGGGACTGGGAGAAAAAGAAAACAAGATGGACCCATTTTGCCTAAATACTTTCTTCTACCTAAGCAGCACTGAAGAAATGTCTGAGAGGAGCATCATGCACATTATAGAGGCAAGAACACAGTACTACATGAAGAGCTTAAAATATCAGGAGATTAGAATAAGGAAGATACAGGAACCCTTTTTTGATAAAACAAAACTTGATATATTGATAACATAATCCTTGTTGTAATCAGAGATTGCAGTTAAATAATTACAGTTGGTAAATATTCTCATAGTGTCAAAGCATTCCATTCATTTAGGATTACATTATTAACCAAAAGAAGGGCTGAAACATTATATAACACATCTATAAACACTACCTAGGAAAGAGATGCATTCTTCCCCATAAAAGTATTTCTCATCTTTTTAACAAACTTTTCTATTGAAACTTGAAATTCCTTCTCTTGAAGGGGCACTTTCAGAGGGCTGCACGCTCTTTATAGACTAATTGCTATTACAAGCACCTTGGTATCAGTAGATTCACCACAGAAAGAAACTCAACAGCTCAGACAAGAAACTGATTCCCTCAGTATTAAGACAGCAGATATAAACAAAACAAAAACCACCTACACAGAACAGGAAGCAATTAGTTTGTTAGTCCAGCTGTGGCCACTAACACACTGGTCTGATTCAAGTTGCAATCTGTGAAGTCCTTAAGGCCACAGCAAGGGAGCACATGCTGGAGAAGCCCCTGCACATCTTCTGTTTTGTAGGCTCATGCCCATGACATCTCTTGAAACTTACTCAGACAAGCAAGACAGCCCTTAGATATAAGCTATTCATGACTCCCAGTACGCCACTGCACACACCAGAACAGACATTAGACCAAACTTGTCTTCTATGTAGAGACTGATGTTACAGTAATTTAGAAAAAATACATTCCTTCAGTTTTTAGACTATCTTTGATGAAGAGATTCTCAGACTTATATCCCAGATTTTAGATGATACATTTGAGGACTTGTTCTCAAAGCAGAAACTACAGGAAGAGACAGTCATAGAGCCCTATAGGCATATTTTGGAGAAGGAACAAAGCAATCGGGGTAAATTAGGAATTGTTCTTCAACTGATATGCATCATTTTAATACAATATGCACTCAGATTATTTTTAAAGTATGAAAGATGTGATGATCTTTGCAAGCCACATTAATGTACATTAACATATTAAAATATTGCCTTGTTTCAGTAGCACAATTAAATATCTTATCAAGACCAAGCCCAAACTCAACAGCTATGTAAAACAGACTACATCTTGTGTAGCTTTTAGAAACTCCACTTGCTATAAACTCTAAACATTAAATATAAACTAGTAACTAAATTATTCATATTTGTATTTATTAAAGCCCACAGATTCTCTGAGCACCCCAGGATTCATGGACGAGCTATGAACTTACAAAGGCTGAAGGCAAGAAAAGGACCCCAAGTTCATAAGAGCGGATCATCAGCTGGGTGCCATTTTTCTCCAGAGCTCCCCAAGCTGCTTTAGATAGATTGGCACTGCAAAGAGACAGAAAACATTTCAGAGAGGCATAACTTCACAGCAGCAAATATTGACATACTACAGCTGTAACAATACACTTCAGGAGGAGAACTCAACTTCAATCAGAACAATCTTTTCCCAAAAAGCATTTTGGCCATTCTTCCTTACTGCTATTTTTACAGCACAGTGGGAGCAGTAGAGGCCTTATGTAGAAGGGCATTCATACAACACATGTGGATAATTATAAAAGTCTGTATGTGTCACAGTTCTGCAAGACTAGTTCAACCTTCGGAAACTCATCTGCACAGAAAGATACAAGGTTATCAGTAAATATTAAGTATCTCTTGCTTCCAAAATTTTGTTCTTTGATGCAGTTATAGACATCAAATATTTAAGAAACTTTTTAAGGCCAACTATACTGCATCATACTGTAGCTAAACCATTTATTATCTGCTATGAAAGAGATTAAACCAGAGTCAAAAAGTGAATTCAATTCTCTGGTCAAAGACTACAGAAAAAGATTAATACTTAAACATTAATTTTATCTAACGGACATTCTGGATACTTTCTTGGTAACAGCATACAGTTGGAAAAAACATGAGAAAAAACACTACTGCTTAAATTGGATCATGTTTTACCATGTTAGCTGACTTAAAAGAATTGCAATAGGCAAAATTTCCCTCTTAATTTGTAGATGAATGTCAATTTGAAGCATGCCAGGACACAATAAAGACAGAAGTTAATGACATGGCCACTTCTAAAACAGTCTAGCCTGTCTTTCGCCCTAAAGAATATCTGTGGTATAATTTCTAAAAAAATATGAGTTACTCATCTGTATTCACGTAATGTTGCAATACTGTCATCTGCTGCTGCTTCCAAAAAGTAGAATCTGTTACTGGTACACAGACCAGTAACAAGGACAGCAAACAAGGCCATTTTGCAACACTTAGCTAAGAAGAATGCAGACGAGTGATACAGCTTCTTTCTTTACACATGCACTTGTTGTAAAGCAGCATGAATGCTTCAGATTGCAATCCCCAAAAGAAATTTAAAAATGAATATTTCAGATTAAAATGTAAAGGTTTACCACTGTATCCCACCCTTATCAAGCAGAGATATCCACTATTAATTCAGATTAGCAAATACAGATATCCATATTAATTTCAATATCTGCACCTACCGTGTTATTAGTCCTAGTTAGCTTCACACTTGCTAGTATGTTTGAAAGTGGTTCCACTTTCAAACTTCCCATTGTACAAGTTTTAGAAACAACTGGCTCATCTTTCAGCAACTGTAATAGTAGAAACATGAGAAAGGAGGCACATCTTTCTGGATATTTTCTTTGTTACTAGTTTATATACATTACCAGTAGCAAAGAGAATCTGGTTCTAGGCCCCAAAATACAATCCTACTGAAGAAGGATAACAGAAGTGTAGAGCTATGTATAAAACTGATTTCTCATTTACACACTTACAAAGAAGAGAATCTCATCTGCAGAGCCAAATCAAAGCCCAATATATGAACATAGAGTTCCATTTTCAATTTCAAATTTCACACTTTGACTAGAACCTATGGAATTCAGATATAAAGGAAATCCAAAATGAAAGAGCTGTTTCAGTTTCTGAATTCAAAAAGATTAAAGAGATTAAAGCAGAGACCACTATGGGCAGAAGGCTAAAGGCAGATTATAGTCAAGTTTATAGATGCTATACTCCAAAGTTACTTTTTCCTTACATTTAAGTTCTCACAATGTACAATTGATTGATTCTGTTTGCAGTCTACAGGATCTAGAATATCTCACTGCTTGCAAGTAACTTTCCTATTAATGGAAAATTTATATTCTTAAAGTTTTTTTGTGCATGTGGGTTTTTTTTGTGTGTTTAGCTATTCTTTAGGGCTAATTCAGTTTCTACTAACATCCTTCAGTAAAAGGATTAAACTTCTAGGAAATCACAAAGGCCTCCAAAATGCACTGGAAAAACATCAAGTATGGACTAATATTCATATTACTACTTTTAGTCTTACATAGAGTACAGAGGTAACTCTCCTGGGCCTCCAAGCAATAAAAACTTTATACATTACAGCTTTTAGAAGTATATAGTTAGCCATTTACCTTGTAACTAAAAACCATGCAATCTTCTGGAAGTCAGGAGATGGTCTCATGTACGTCTTGATGTGAGGCATGGCATGACTTCGACCAGAGACTTCTGCTGACCATTTACTGGAAAGGCGAAAAAAGAAACACTTCAGTTGAGGTTTTGTTATGATGTCCAAAAAAAGAACGAGTACAGAGCCTTTTTGTAACACTACCCTTTTTTATTTGGCACTCTTCAGAACTTGTGTATTCTACAGAAAGGCTGAAAAAAATATTGTATTAGACTTTTTTTTTTACATCTTTAAATCCAATCTTACTAGAAGCCAGAAGGGCAGGAATGTTTTCTTAAAAACAAACTGAGGAGAATGTCTGGTTATCAGGATCCCGTAACAAGTTTTCCATTCCTCTACTCCAGCAAGTGCTTCAGAAACTAATTGATACTAGCTGCAATAACTTTAGTACAGAAAGAGAGGAAAAGTGGTAGTACTACAGCTGAAATATGATATTTAACTGTATCCACGAGCAATGGGAGACAAAGGAAGCAGATAGAGACAGTATTTCAAAATTACTGCAGCCAACTGTAGAGGAAGGATCTTCTCTTTGAAGATAGTAACTTTCTGGAGAACTAGTTTCAAACAAGAATATGACTCTCGGTCTTTTTTTTTTCCCCTTTTAAGATTTCCTTTAACACGACAGTAAAAATACATAAAGACAGAAAGAAGCGATCACGCTGTTCTATCAGAGATTTTTTTTTTTTTTTAAAAAAGAACAAGTTTATTACCTCATTCAAAACTCAGATGATTTTACAAAAAGCATTATTAAAGAGGCATAAGATGATTCTCATTCTGCCTCAAAACTCAGTACATTCCTCTGGACTGCATAAGAAACTTCTAAATCTGGAAGGGATTTCAGACAGGTAACAATATCTAGTTAATTCATTCTTAAATCAGCCAAGTCTCAACTTTTCTGGATCCTTTCTGGTACATTTTAAGAAAAAAAACATCAAAATAGATTGTAAAAAGCCTACTGCAAAATCTAAGACCAGCTGCTTTGCACAGCAAGAATGGGAGCATATGTCAATGGAACACCTTGAGGGTACTTTCAGTCAAACTAATTTTACACATTTGAAGCTATAAACTTTATCAGGATGTTAGTGGCAGAGGATGTGCTAAGTGCTGATCTCCTGCTGCAGCAACACCTCAAGCATTTGCAGGGGAAGTGGAGAAAAGTGCCACTTTGCCAGTGGCACGCGATTGCTATGGAGTAGCTGATATAAATGGACCTGCCCTATTTTCTCTCAGGTTACCAGGGTTAGGAAGTTGATGGATGTCAAACATACTATGGTAGCAGCTAACATGTAGGCTCTCTGGGGGCTAATGCCTTGTGTTATTGCAGGGTAAGAATCTGTGTTTGGGGAGTCCCTGCAAAGCAGATCATGCAGAGCCACTGACAATCTGCAGCTCTTCCTGGGTAGATGAAGTTAAAACAATCTTTTTGTTCTCAATAAGCATATTCATTCCTGCTCTGAGACAAGAATGAAAAGGAACATTAGATGTCCCCTTGAACATGAATAAAGAATTAAATGGCCTCAATAAATCCCACTCCAGCTACTACATAAGTAGTACTGTAGTAGTAGTACCAAGGAGGGTGGGGGTGCAGGGACCACAGCATCACCTTCCTTGTGACCTCCTCCCTTCCAGTTTTAATTTTCTTCTTATGAAGTTCTCCTAAGGTATTATGCTTACAGAAGCTGAATTAAAGCTCTACAAGCATTCCTAATTTTATGATCTCCTCTTGAGAACTTACAAGCTTATGTCTGGAGCTCGCTTCCTTTGCTGCAAGTGCTCAGAAGGCAGTCTAAAGAGGCAGGAGACGCAAGGCCCCTCGCTTTCTACTCCAGCTCCATCCCTTGGATGTCAACCAGCAGAGCCCACAGCAGCCATCACAGAGCTGTTCACTCCAGGGCAGAGGATGCTTCTCTGCAACTAACAGCTCTGTTCTGGGCCAACTCACTATGTCACACAACTTCACCAGCTCGAACCATTCTTTGAGATGGGCAAAGAGTCAAGTGGAGAGCAACTTCTACCTGGAACACTTAGAAGATGCTGGTGAAAAAATGGGTGGCTCTGGTCTTAAAAGGTTACCAGATTTTTTTTTTTTTTTTTTTTTTTTTGATCTGTGCAAAACAACTTTTCCCATTGTTCTCAAAAATGTCTAGATTTTTAAAAAAGATTCTGCCCAAGGGAGACATTTGGCATGGAATGTGTCAGATGGTTAGAATTTGGCAAAATTAGAAGCAAGTGAAAATAGAAGCTCTTAATAAGAAACGTCAGGCACCTTTAACAAAAGATGGTATTAAAATAAGGGATTGTCAGGGATTTTAACAGAATTGCTGTACTACAGAGCAGAAAAAAAAACAAACAAAAAACCACCCCCAAGCCCATCATCCTAACACCACTTACTAACATTAGCGCTGCGATGACAAAGTAATAAGCCTGGCCAATACACTGTGAACATGAGGCAGAAGTGGGAATGTGTCAAACAACCGTAAAAATAAAAGACAAATACAAAGGAGCAACAAGATGCTATTTCAAAGAAGTTTGGGAGCCCCAAATCAGATGCACTTTTTCATTTGCAGTACTATCCTTTGTCATTTTAACAGGTTGAAAACAAAGGAAAACCCACATTTTGAGTATATTCTGAATATAACCCCAGATTTGGAAGTAGAAGCATTTAAGTGGAAGATTAACATGCTTCCTGCTTATTCCTTAACACCCTATTAGTGCTCTAAAACATTGCAGCAGTAAGTTTAATCACACAGTCTGCAAACAAAGAACTGAGTTTTACTTACTGAAAATAGGAATGCAACCATAGTTGTTTCTGTGCTGTTTGTAGACTGTATGGAAGCGAGCCACCAGCTTAAAGAGAAAAATAATACAGAATATTTACATTTGCTTTTTGAAAGACATTGACAGCAACAAGAGGTCTGGGAAATATTTATCTGTACTATTACCATGACTTATTTTTGGTAAACACTCAAATGCTACAGCAGTATAGAGTGGTATATATGTGTTTTTTCCCTGTTCTGACAACTAAGCAGGCCCCTACCTAAGTAATAAATTTACACTAGGACAGAGAAAATCATTATACAGGCTCTAGAATTAAGTCCTCTCTTAAGGAAAGATGTCTGTGGATACTTTTGATTACAGCATCACTTAATAGCCACAGATTACAGTTGTTTAAGTGCCAGCAGGAATAAAAGAGCATCCAGCAAAGCAGCCATTTTAAAAAATGAGAACTTCTATGATGAAATTGTTCATGGTTCTCAACTGGTCTTTGGCCAATGTATAGTATGTTTTCTTTAAATGGATTCTAACGAAGAATCAGAACAGTATACTGAGTTATCAGTGCTGTGTATTGAAAGTGTGATGCAAGATCTGTTCTAGAAGAAGCCATAAGAGATTGTCATAAAAGCTTTACTGCTGTGAAGGATGAGCTAGCTACATGGAGCTGTTCACTTACACTGACAGAAGTAACTGAGTTGTTCCACAGAGTTAAATAAACCACAGCAACAATCATAGATTGCTGCTGCTGCTGCTACACTTTGGAAAACAAGAATTTCGCTATACAGAGACTGTAGACAATCATGTGTATATACAAAAGAGCTCAATTTACTTTCTGAAATCATAAAGACCTATAAACTCTCTGGGCCAAGTTTATACATATGCTCCAACCCTGCTCAGTTCAGGTGAAAGATCAAGGCAGCTGCAAACAGTCCCACTAGCCCCGAGTTGAAAGTTTCACTTGCAGTTGGAAGACTTCAACAGTGTCTCTAATTCCTAGTGTATAGGAGCTGAGATACCTGCCCTAGAACTGGAACACAGAGTCATGGATTCAGTGCTGCCTAAGGCTCAGAGTCATAGAGGTAGGAAGAGACCTCTGGAGATGCTCTAGATCCACCCTCACACTCAAAGTAGGATCGACTACAAGAGGTTGGAAGGAACAACATCCAGTGGGGTTCTGAGCATCTCCAAGGAGGGAGACTCCATAACCTGTCTGGACAACCTGCTCTCAGCTACCCTGACAGTAAAGGGTATATTTAAAGCGACTTTCCTGTATTTTAATTTATGCCCATTACCTCTTGCTCTTTCACTGAACACCAGCAAGAAACTAACACATTCTCCACTACTTGCGGCACCAGCAAAATGACACTGCAGCGAGGTCACTAAGATAATCTGACATAAGCAAACTCAAATCCAAGTTTTCTGCCAAAACAAATGTATCGCTCAGATTTAGAGATTTTTTCCTTCTCCTATACAGTGGCAGAAGAACACAACTCTGTAGGCTTGTACATTACACACCACGGCCACAAAGCTCTGCCCATTCAGTCACAGAGCAGCAGGGTAGAGGCAGAGTCTCAATAACAAAAGGATTCTGCTGCCACCTACTCAGAGCTCCCACTAGGTAACAACTCCAGGTAGATGCAAGAGCAAGCACAAGGTTCCCGCTGCCCTCATTCCTTTGCTTACCAGGATAGCCCTCCAGGCTTTGCCGCACATTGTCCACAGTAGGATAAACCTTCAGGCAAAAACACACACAAACTCATAAAAACACTATTTAAGTAATGCATCTCCAAACACACAGCCAATAATTTTCAAACAAAAACCCCTTAATGGGATTTTTACTTGAATGAAAAACATTAAAAGCTTTGTTCTTCAGAATGAACTATACAGCATTTTAAACCAGACATGTCAGACAAACATCAGTCCTATAGCCGCAATACAGAAAGCCTTTAGTGTTTTTAGCTATTTTACACATCTTAACAATAACCAGCACACAAAAGGTAGGGGCTCTGAGTCATGATTCAGCTAATTTCACTTGGTCATAATAAATTCTTAGTATTTATTTAAAATCTTATATCACATTTCAAATAGAATTAAGTATGACTAAGTACCAAAGAAATCAAGTGAGAAAACAAATATGAATTACTTAAATGGTTCAGCTACACTTCAGCATCAGAACAGCTGCTTCTACTAAACTCAACGGAAGACAAACTGCAGAATGAGGATGAGATTTTTTTTTTTTTTGTCACAAGGAGAAAACAGTTAATCATACAAATGTCCTCTATAGTTCACCAAGTCTATATGAATATTCTGCTCAAAAATGAGGCTTGAGGTACTTTAAGTAGTTTTAATAATATAATAATCTACCATAACCCTCTTCAGCATAATACTGATGTTTAACTTCTCTTCTTAAGTAGACAAGTTAAACATTTGTGAAAATGTCAGATAATAAAAGCCATTGTTAGAGCTAGAATCTACTTGCCCAGCAAGCATCTTGGTTTCAGCTCTCTGAAAAGACAGGACAGACCAAGGAACTACAGAAACTTAGATCTTCCAAAGTAAACATCCAGGCAGCTGCTAAGCTGGAATATATCTTTCAATCACACATTACACAGAAGGCTGTGTCCAATAGCAGTAGCAGCAACAGATTTTTGCAGACTAAAAATAACTGTTCTGCTCTGTTTTTTCTCTCTGCTGCTTATTCAATGATGTTATTTAAAATCCAGGTAAGCACTAAGCCTCTGCATAAGTGACCTGAAGTTAAGACACTATCTTCCTATGTCTACAAGACAGACATCCACATCGATCCACTGCGAGCAGAAACCTCAATTTATGTCATTCTAGAACAGCTCAGCTGACCCATTACCTGCAAGTGAATCTCTCCCCAGTGACCATAACTGACTGGTTCCAGTGATGGCATCTAAGGCAAAGTGAAATGAATTCCCCTTAGCTTTCTTCACTCAACTCGAGCATTTTTATTATTTAATCACGTTACACTGTTACAGTGTACAGTGAAGTATTCTGTGCTTTCAACATTAATGAACCAAAAGGAAAAGATTCTTCCACTGGTTTCAAGCTGGAAATTAGGTTAGTTTCTTCCAAAAGATTAAAGTAAGCCAATGACTATGAGATTAAAAAATAAATGAACACAGCAAAAAGAGAGGCCACCAGCACCAAAGCACATACCAAGTGAATGGGAACAGCACATTTGGGGAGAGCTGTCCCACTGGCACCTGTGGCCACCAGGCTGTCCTGGAACTCCGAGCACAACCACTTGGACTCGTCTGCTCCCATGGAGCCGATGCTTGAGAACTGCCCCACAATGGGCCAAGACTCCTGCGCTGCCACCGACGAGGCGCCCTCTCTCAAGAGCTATTGGGGAAGATTTAAAGCATCATTAGACTTCAACAGGAAGACACAGCCTTATTAATTACAGCTTTGGTACAACAGCAAGACACAGAATATGATATTGAAGAGCCAAGAGTAGTTAAAGAATTCTTAATATTTGATAGTTGCTAACTATTCAGTTCCTTTCATATCCCAAAATCCCAGCTACTGTAGATTCTTGCAGCGAGAGGGAAAAATAAACATTGAAAAAAGGCAACTGAATGAAAATCTTTTAAAGTTCTTAAGTTGTAAATGTAATTTGAAGTCCCATTAAAAAGAAAACAGACCACCACCAGTCAAGAATGGGTTTATTTGTATTTACACTAAAAAAATAACCTAAACTTTTCAAACAGAAACATCTGCCACAAGACAGTCTTTACAGGTTTTTCTGTTTAGGTTTGCTTTCATTTAATGTCTTAATAGACAAAAAACCCTGCACAGCAAACATCTATATCAGAGAGGATACGCTACTTACACTCAAGGAGAGATCTAAAAAATAGCTTAGTATTAGAATGGAATGGGATAAAGAGACATTTTACACGTCGCTGAAATTTCCAATGGGCTGCATTAGGATTTCTGGATCATATCACATAAAACTCACTGTGGGATTTGAAACAATATCACTTCAGGTTGAAAAATTCCCCAGTGGTGAAAGGTATTTAAAAGATGACAAGAAATAACTTATTTAGAATATTGAAGCAGAAGGGACTCTACAGTAAGAGACACACATTTTCGTACAGACCTTTGCCAGCACGTCTTAACTAAACAGTGGAGAAAAATGTACTCCCAATTATTCTGCTAATTAAGGTCACTAAATCTTAGAAATACGGTAGAACAAAAACGTGACCGAATGACATTAACTCCAAGCAAGCCGTTTAACTCAATTTTTACTGGCTCATTAGGGAAAAGAAACATTAAAAGCCCTTAATAGTTAAGTAAATTTAATAACCCTATTTCTTATGTATAAAAAAAGCCATGTCTGGCTCTCAGTCACAGATCGTGAGTATCAGATTCATTAGAAACACCAACAGCAGACAAGAAATTCTAGTACCTTTCTGAGCCTAAGATGACCCCATTTTTCTTTATCAATACCTTGATATCGTCCAGGGGTAGAACCAAGCAGATACACCCTACAGAAACAAAAAAATACCACCAGAAGATTATTTGGAGTTCTGCTACCCAGAGGTATACAACAGGTCAGTGGACCATTCCAAAATGGGTCAAGTCAATCCAAAAAGCTACTTTATGACGACCAAGTGCAAGGCTGCACACTTTGTATGAGCATTCCATATTTTCCACTTAGCAACAGTATCTTGATAAATATTTTTCTTTCTAATTATCTATCAAGATACAGAAAAACCTGTAGAGGTTTGCAGCTTAAGTGGGCCAGTTACTGCTTTAAGTTAAACCCAAAACACAAGACAGCTTGAGAGCATCAGCTCTGGACTACAGTGAAGTCTTCAGTTTCCCAAGGACCTAGCCCAGAGTCAGTCCCACTGAGCCCCACTAAAGGACAGCCCACATTTGAATGATATTAAGTCTATAACAACATAAGCTTAAGCAGCAAATCCATGTCTTAATGATTCATTATAAGAAATATGTTTAATTTTGGAGAAAAAGCATGCAAGCTATTATAGACACATGATAATAGATACCTTGTCTCTGATAAATCATGTTCTTGAATATTATCTATCCATTCCTTGAGTGCTGGAGAATTGTAAGCTGCCAAGTAGCTTATCAGGTCAGATTTAAAATTGGTTTCAGATTCACCAGCAGAATCAGTTGCTCCCTGAGGTAGCCTTGGATATAAAGGACTTATCCATATTCTAAAAACAAAGCCACAAAAATAAATAAGAAAACACACACATCACACACTAGCACAACGTTTTAGGAAGTGACTGAAGCACATCAGGAGATTCTAAATAAATACTGGATGGCTGTACTTTACTGCAGTGCTGCTAACTGCAAACTAATTTGCCATTACTTTACAATAGAGTCATTACAGTTTTTATGCTCCAGAACATAAAACTAGTACTCTCAAATCAAGATGACCATGTACATGTCTACCCACGCATAGGTTTACAGCTCTACATCACTGTTAAACAAGCCAGGTTTGGAATTACGAACTAACTGCCTTTTCATTAAGATTCTCAGTATAAATAGAAAAAAGTTGCACTGCAACAAACACCAGGGAACTGAATGGTCTTTCCTATGTTATTTTTTCATCAATATAGGATGAGAGTTTAGCAAATAAAATCTCTATTTGCTTTATGGAAGCATTAGGATAAAGAAAATACACTACATACTGGCTACCATGTGAGCAGTTTATTCTGACGTTCTAGCAGCACATCATTTTCCAAATTTTGATCTTATAGGCATCACAGGAATAGGACAAACTTCATAAAAAATCATTTATTTCAACTGAGCTCAGCCAAAAGAATACTAGTAGCTAAGAGGAAATAATTTTTAAAAGCCTTAGTGGTTTATTTCAGTTCCATTAAAGCTTACTAAAGCGGATGAAGATTAAAGCTTTATATTGAAATTACAAACTAGAAGCCCTATATAATTGGTATTTAGGAATAAAATGCTCTGCTTTTGTAAAACCTTCAAAAATAGGTAAATAAAAAAAGACAGCGCTTGAACAAAGACCAGCCCAGTTTACAGTGATTCAAACTACTACCAGTATCATATGCTTCCAGTAGACAAGATAAGTGGGGTATTATTCTCTTCTCTACTGAAAGCAACCATCCTGGATGTCGATCTGAATCCTGCATAGACAAACCTGATCATTTGCAATCCACCATCTAGCAGCTCTTTCCATTCACACATTATGTAGCTATAGCAACCACAGCATCTGCATTATCAGTTTTACCCAAGGTTCATAATACCCTTGGCACTTCAGAGGCTTGCAGAACATATAGAAGCCTAGGAGCCATCACACTGGCAAAACTACATTACAGTGAAGTTACAAAAAGAAAAAATATTTTTCATGTTTGACAAGTATGGCAACTTGTCAAGCATCACAAATGAGTATTTTCACACCCGCCTTGGTGTTGTAAAAGGTTAGATGCCAAAAGATGCTAAAGCCATTTCTAAGTGAAACACCTCAAAGTAGAAAACAGCAGTAGCATTTCTACCACTCAGCCTCATGAGAGGTTGCTTCAAACAAGTGCAAAGTTCTTACAGCAGTGAGATGGATGTCCTGAAGGCAGCAACCCCTGAAAAGCCATTTTCAAGCAGTTTGACAAAGAACTCTAATATCATAAACTGCTGTAGAGAGCTAAAAACTCACAAGGGAAAATAATAGTTAGGAAATATATTAAGAAATCATGTTTCTCAAATGGGTTTAAGGCAATCTTAAGTATTATTTCAATTTGTCAGGCAAATATTTTAGCCCTGTCCATGAAATTACACTCTAGATACAGTTACAGCAGGAACAGAACATCTGCCCAGTCACATATTCTCATATCAAGGTAATTTTTAAATAGTTGCTTGAGCAAAAGCAGGGTGTACAAGTACAGGTAGGGTGTAAAGAAAACACTGAGGTGGGTCAGAACAGGTTTAAGGTAATTGTCAGCTCAGAATAAATTTCTGTTTAGAGCAGAAAGCAACTAGAGTACAGGCCTAGCCAGCTATCACCTTCCTAGCTGTAGCTGTTTGCTGCACATGGCTGTATTAAGAAGATGATGCTTGCAGCACCAGATAAATGAAACGGCCCATTATGTGCCCTCTGCTACAAGCAGCACCTTGCATCCCATCTCCAGCAGTGATAAGCAGAAACCTAGACATTAAAGCAAACATACAAACAAAAGCTTCCTCCTAGCACTCTCCCAGATGTGAGCTGTTCTCAGCCAACCAACTACCCCAACTCAGTAAGTTTCTACCTATTTTGCAATCCTCAGTTGACTTTGCCCCCACACCTTTTAGATCCTTTTAACACCCAGAATATCCTTCTACAAGTTTGTGGATGAACTGCATGCTGCATATGTTGAAAAATTTTCTGAATTTTGTAAAACCTACTTTTGGAATTGATATTGGCATTCCAATTGGCATTGGATATTGATAGTTCAACTGGTATTAGATATCAGAGCAATTCAGTCTCATTCTTCTCCATGCCATTCAGTTCTTTAGACTCTGGAGTCTATTTGTGCAGTTCCTAACAAGGAAAAGCAGGTGGCTAAGGCTGTACTTGTTACATACTACATTTTTACCAGAACTAACCTCAAAGCTGACTTTGCTGAATAGTTGTTTAGTCAAGCCGAAAAAAAAAAAGAGCTGCGTTTCAAAATCTGTATTCTATAAGAGAAGCCTCTAACCCTGAAGCTAATGTACATTTAAAACTGGTAATACATGAGCTATTTCAAAAAGAACATAGAACCTGGCACAGAGCTAAGAAGTTTGGCTAGTTTGAGAAGTTTGGATAGCATCAAAGAAATCTAACAAGCGTCTGCTGCAGGCATCTCATTTTCCAGACAGACACATCTTGGATTCCTCAAAACAGTCACATTAAGTACACAGGTATTCCCTTTATCTGCATTAGTCATTACAGCATTTCTGTTACAATCATGGCCTTCATTTTGATACACATTCAGAGCTCCAAGGGGAGAAGTCCTTATTTCCTACTTGCATAGATTTGTAACAGGTCTTTGGCACAGCTGCAAGCACAAGAAGGATCTCCACACATTTCTTATCTCACCACGCCAATTAACACCAACACATTCCAAATGCTTATTATTTTCCAGTCAGCTAGGCCCAAATTATGTTCTTGTAATTTTTTAAACACTCCTAGGATCCTGAAAGACACAAGGCTTAAAATACAGTATCTGTGTCCAATTTGCTTAATTCCCTAAGTAAATTAAACCTCTAAGTTGCTTTAATGATTTTTTAGATTTTCTTCAATGCTTATTTAAAGTCTGATTTTGAAATATTTTCAAGCATATTAACAGGAAGAATTGCATGCCTAGCACAATTAAAGAAAAAAGATTATAAAGTGTCACTGATAAGCCTCAGTATTTAAAGATCAATTTCCAAAGTAGAAGCAGTTTCACAGATATTATCATTTTTTCTCACCTATTTCCATATTGAGTTTGTTCCATGCACAGTCATAAAATATTAGTTTACTGCAGGTTTTAACTTGGCTGTATTATAGCTAGATATACATATTAGCATCTAGGCATCTAATGCAGGCAGTACAATTTTCAAAGTCAAGACAACTACTTCTCCAAAAAGGTCACATACACACAGCACAAACAACATCTAGAAATGGTTAAGATCAAATCTTGAGACCATTAAAAGGAGTCATATTTTGCAGTTCAAACCATGCAAGTTCTTATTTTAAGTACTGTTACCATTTATCTGATAAAACATAACTAATATACAGACAATCCATTCTGCTAAATTTAAAAAATGAAATTCAGCTTATGGTTCAGTATAGCACAGTCAGTATAGTCAGTAAGAACCATGCATATTTTATACATTGCTTTATCAAACCTCTGCTGTTCACCACAAAGCAAATAGATGCATCACTACTTACACCTCTTAGTTCAACTTCAGCATATATAACCCAGATCAAAGCATATGTGCTCAATATCTAAACTACTAGTAGGAAAACAATAGATTTGTACAGATTTTTACTTACCCCTGAGTTTTCTGGTGCCAATCTTCAGAAATCAGATTAGATGTATGTATCACAACTCGAAGACCTTCTTCATATAACAGTAACATCATTTTCCTTAAAAATAGTGTGATTAATATATACATTACACTTTTTGACTCTCAGGGTACTTAAAGCAAATATATTAAGTCCATTATAATGCTCTATTACCAGAATTCCAAATCATTTGCTCAGTTCTGCATAAAACAAACAATTAAAATTCCATCTATGGGCATAATATTCCTATATGCCTGTGACTTGCATGGCAGTCATTAGAAAATCCACATACATTTTTATTAGTGGTATCATGCAATCTACTTCAGGTTACCTCTTAGCATCTCATGCTACTGACTTCCAAAACAACAGTGAATACTTGCAGAACAATCACTATGTTGCAAATGGACTCATTCTTCTGCTGCTTGTTTAAAAAAAAAAAAGAATCAAAATGCACCAAAACATCTTTGCTTAGTAGTTGAATTTATGAAACCAGTTCTCTCAATAGTTTTAAAAAACAAAAGGTACTCAGCTAGGTACTAGGGAGGTAAACAGGTATTCATAAGAGGTATCTATCAATCTAACCTTGAGCTACAGGACAAAGGAGTTTTAAAATTAATAATTGAAATTCAAACAAAAATGAAAAACATATTTAGCTTAAGTTTTCACAATTGTGTCAAGACAGTATACATATGTCCTTGAGGAAAGAGCACAGCTGCCAGAAAAAAACAATAATCAAGAATTAAAACCATAAGGAAAAACATTCCTATTTTCACTACTGCCTCATGGCAAGGTCCATACTAAGCAAACAACATTAGGCTCAAATTCCGACAGTGACTTGCTCAGGAATTCATACTTTCAATGTGCAGCACTTAGCAAACTAGGATTTAAGTAGCTTACAATGAAAACAGACATTTTCTGTTCTCACCGCAAAGAAGTATTCAATGCCTCTAACTATAAACAAAATATTTCTGGAAGCTATTTTGATCTGTTCCAAGCACAGGCTGAGTTGTCCACAAAGCCTGATTTTTATAGCAAAATAATACATTAAGGTAAATAAAATTGGTAACACTGACCAAAAGACCACATCCTCAAAATTGTTGACAAATAATTAAGGTTTACAACATGCAACAGACTTAAACTTTACTCACGTAGCAAAAATCTGTTAGGTTTCTCACGGAACAAAATCAGCTACCTTCTTTGAATTGTTATAGGTTTATAAACATCAAATATAAAAAACCTCTAGCAGTTAAAGTGGTTGTTTGGGTAATCTGCCTCTGAACACATGCTCAGTGCATCTGATTTACTGTTCTGCTGTCCCCACTTGTAGAGCTCCACGTACACTGGAATATGTATTCAGAGATACAGTACCCAAAACCCCATCACTGTCACTTATTAATCCAAATAGTGGACTGGAAGAAATTTGAAGTGGAGCGTACAGAGAATAAGACAGCTGGTGCTTACATTACTTAAAAGAAAGTAAACTGAAGCTTTAAAATGAACAATTTAACTGGCAGACTTAGTATCTCCAATATCCCTCATTTACATTGAATAGCTGGCAGAAATGCCAGACTCATCATTAAAAATGCTGCCTCCCCCCACATTTGCCTATATTTGTCTCCTAACAGGTGAAGAGGTCACTGCATTCTATCATAAATACGAGTGTGCCTTAAATGAGCATTTCAGACCTATGATTTAACATTACCTTTTACAAAGGCTTAGAGAAAAAAATGACTTGATGAAGAAGCTGAAGTGCCTAGAAACCAAAGACTTCTGCTGTATGAAATAATACTCATCTCATCTGTAGCTGATAAATTACAGAAGTCTGTGGGACACTTATGATATCTAACTTTAGCTTTTCTTTGAAAGTAATTAAAAATGCAGTTATAGTTTTCAAATTTTCCATGTTAACTGCAAAAGCACAGCAGTGAGTCACTGTTCTGTTCAGTCTCTCAGTGACTAATCAAGTTATAGCAGTTACTTACGTATGATGAGTTCCAAAAGCAATATCCAGCTTAGCCTATAAAATGAAAGAGTTGATCAGCAATAGAAATTAGCATTGTTCATTTCTATATGAAAGAATGTTAAGGGGAAGAAGGTGCCTTCCTACACTCGTTTTGTTTCATTTCACTGCTCTCTAGTGGAGAAATGATGCATCATCTGCACTTTATTACTATTATCTTTAAAGATACTTCCCAATTGCCAAAAGTTCTATTTTAACTTTCAATGCCACTTTTTGCAGTTACAACTGCGACGTGAAACCTGCTGTTCCCTTGCAGGCAATATTTCAGAAACAGTTAGTCTTCTGAAATCTAAGTCAGCCCTTACAAGGAGTATAACTGCTAACACTGCAAAGAAAAGAACCAACCAAGGAACAAGAAATATAATAGCCTTTTTCTATTCGGGGCTTTCCTCTTAGCAAAAAAATGCTGTTTGCAACAATTTCTAGAAATATTTTCAGATAACTTAAAAGCCTTTCCTTTAGAAAAAACAGTACTTCAGCTTCATATAAGGATGGATATGGCCATGATAATGTAATCAAGCTTTATAGCTTTTAGTGTAAGACTCATGAGTTACAGATGGTGTTACATACTTCCATAGAGTGATAGCTCCAACACTGTACCTAGTTAATATGTGGGGAAATATAAGATTACAACATTAAAGTTTCATTTTAGGGTATTGATAGAAGGGATTGCCCATAGACTACCAGAAGACTCTGAAGCAGTGTAACTAAGAAACCCATCACGAACATCACTTTCCCCACAACGTTATGATACAACTTAACTACTCTGCCAGACAAGGTTATCATACAGGAGAGTTACACTAAATGCTTGTTATGAATAAAAAGGAAATACCTAATGTGCAAAGCCATGAATTTTGTTAGTGCAATTGAAATTCTAAAGTCAAATCAGTTTTTGCAAGTGCATAGCTTAGTGCAAACATCTGTTTAGTACAGCGTACTGGAGCCCAAAAATCCTGGCCTTGGGAACTCACTAATTTTTGCATCAATGTGATCATTTCTGCAGAGTTCAACTCAGTTTAACTGAGGAGGAAGAGAACTTCAGCATTAAGTTTCTCCCACAAAAGAAAGATGAAACTCCCAGAACTGATGACATTCTCTTCCCAAACAGATCCTGGAGCATTAGCTCCCTGTCATTAACACTTCCCTCTCTCAAACTGCAGCTGATTACCTTAAGACTAAGGGACAGCAAAGTGTAAGTATAACAGGAAAGAAAAAAAGACAGATGCCAGCAAATGCATGGACAGGAATTTCAACTGTACTGTGGAAATTCACTCCAACAGCACTTTCTGGTAACACACATCCAAGCTATTAAAAATCTCTGATGAGACTATTAAAATTATGATTGCACTAACAGTAATAATAATTTCTTACTTTGTATATAAATAAGGCTTCTTTTTATGCTTTCATCCACAACAGGAATTTAAGTGCAATAAATCTGTGATGAGTGGCAGCTGTGTAAATAGCCTACAGTAATACTAAAAGACCAAGAATACAGCTAATCAGCTCCTACAGCCCCAGGAAGTATCCTGCTTAAAGTATAGCTAAGTTTTTTTGACTTCTTATATAACACACATTAAACACTCTTCTTTTTGTCCATAGCAAGGTTTTGAGCACACAGACTGATGAATTTCAACTGAAAGACGATACAAAAAGCTAATTACCTGACAAAAGCTAATGTTCTCATAAGGACGTGCTTGTGCAAGCAGTTCAGCCTTGGATTCTCTCTTTTCACCATGAACTATCAATAACGGCTTCTTCCTTAAATAAAAGATTTTTAAAATATCCAGTGAATTAACCATTTGCCCAAATCAGTCTTCCAGACAGCTATGACTTCCAGCTCTTAAAGCCAACAGTCCCCAAGATGATACACATAATCTATACAGTTCATTAGCTATCTCAAGAAAAATCAGCAACTGTCATGCACACCTTAAAGATGAGGATGCTAGGAAGAATGGATGGAATAGAAAAACAAGAAGCATGTGGAGAAAAAAGCAGACACCAAAATTAAAAATTAGTAATATGTAATATACAGAAGTGTTCCTTACAAGAATCTTTATCTGAAAACAGACAAATAATCACAAGTATTGCCATAGATAGTGTTGGCCTGCAAGTCAAAGGAGATTGGGAGGAAAGGGGAGTCAAAGGGAAAGGATGCCATGGTTTATCCTTGTGACAGCTTAAGTTCATCTCTTAATACTCAGTTTATAGAGCTTTTAATAAAACAGGGAAAAGATATCAAAGTTTACTTCACATGTGGTAGTCACAATTATCCAAATGGAGCAAAGAAATATGAAAATTGCTATCATGACAATCCCCAGCAAACTCAGACCATTCCATATCATTCTGATCATTTTGCACTTTTTTTTTTTTTCTTTTGCTCTCCTATATTCCCTTCTCTTTCATTATTTTGCTCTTAGCTCTGTAAATACAGCTTAAGAAACTGCTGTTCTATCCTCCAATGCACTGTTGTTTTGGCCCATTAGAGTTTTATAGAAGGTAATTAGTTAAAATCAACAACAAAACGTACTGAATCTTGAGCAGCCAACTGCCTCAAAAAGTTGCAAAAAATCAGAGAACTAACACTGCAGAAAGCATAGAAGGAAAACCTAGAAAAAACTATAAGAAAACCCATACCTACGTGATCGATAAAAAAAGAATTTCCAAGTGCAAACAAGTGTTTATGGTTTAAATATAAAACTCACACAAAGTGTATGATAAAGAAAATGTATGTAAATAAACATACCTGAATTCCTGTGGATACTGTTTTACAAGCCATTCCACATCTATACAGTAATTAAACTTGCACATAAGAAAGAAAACACTCATTAAAAAGAAAAACACGAGTTTGTCAAAGCAAAGACTTACTACAGCTAAAAAAAATCTATCAATCAATACTACTTAACATACAAGTAAGTATTACTAACTTGTAAATACTTTTGAATCTCACATGCTTTAATGTTCCTTTTAATAATTAAGGAGGAATTTAAATGATTCAATACCAAATATTAGTATTCAGAGTTTACCATGCAGAAAAAGGAGTCACACAATTTGCATAATGCAAAAGCTTTGGTTTGACTTGTGCTTGAACTGCATATGATAGTTAAAAGCTGCCCTACAATAACAAAAAAAGAAATTCTTGACTGCACTGTATATTACTCAATTCTGCCATCATCTACATGCACAGATATATATTACTCAGGTGTCCATTTCCAGAAATAGGCAAGAGAAAGCAGACTAATAAGATTCAGAGCAGGACACATGACAATTTCTTTTTATACTTCTGTAAATTGTTACAGAGTTTGGGTTCCCACTATTTTCAACTATAATTTAACAGAAGCTACTTATCAAGTACATGACAAGGAAGAACAAACTTGAAACAGAGATACATTAGTGAAATCAATCAAGCAAAAATCAAACTCACCTGTGCAGAAGACAGAAGAGTCCCAAAAAGAGGAGACAAAATATCTATTAAAAAATAGTAAAGCACAGGCGTTATTAAAAAGGAAGTGGATATTTCACATCTTGTACAGTTTAACACCTGCAACACAAGTGTCACAACATTCACAGGCTATGATTTGAATATTCAAACTTACGCTGTTGTGAAGGAATTTAGATCTTACGTTCCTAGAAAGAGCAGCCCCTCCAAGCAGAAAATCAAGTTAAAAAGCTTGAGAATGACAGAAACAGACAAACTAGTCTCTTACAAACTGCCTAAGTGAGGCAATGAGAGTACAGTTAATGCTTATATGTTGGAGGCTGGATAGACAGGAGCCTCCAAGCTCCCTTTCCCCTATGTTTTTACTCTCTTCCACCCCCATTTTGAGGTGGGAAGGTGGATTGCTCACAGTTTTGTCCAGGAACTCGCTGGCCAACATAGGCCGAGGGCAGGTAGTAACTCAAGCAGTAACTAAAACAAGAAGGAACACAAAACAAGAAGGTTGCACAAAAGGCAACGCATATCCTTAGCCTGCTTGACTGCTGGAAACAAAAGACACTGTGCACCTCAAGAGTTTAAAAGCTCAGCAACTAAACAACAGCTTCTTAAATATATATTCTATAGATATGTTCTAGCATAAACACTGTATATTCACTAGATCTCAAAACCCTCTACTAATGCTTGCTTTTGATTCTACCTTGTAATGCATTAATTTCTGTTCTCAAAGGGCAAATGTTTATACATGTGCAGATGAATTATAACTAAGTTCAATTATAAAGTATTCTCCAAGCATTGCTACTGTGAAGGCTTCACCCTGCTTTTTGTTTACTTTCAACTGCATTGGAGAGAAACTATGAATTTCACCAGCACAATTCCAGAAAGAAAACCTTGTATAACATGAAGTAAACTACTAGATGCAAACCAATCAGTAGCATAAAGGCAAGTGCAAACCACCAATGTAGGAGGGGCATCAGGCTCCCCAGGAAAGCTTCTCTTTAAAATAACAGAGAAAAGAGCATTTCCCCAAATGAACTCACATGAAGAGCAGCAGTAAGCATCAAAAGATCTGCCTTCAGTAACCAAAGAAAATTTGTGTCACATAACTCAGAGGTCATAGGAAAAATCAGTATCAATAAGTTAATGTCATACACTATATTTCTCAAAGAAAACAGTGAAATTAAATATAATTCTTACAACTTAACACTCAGAATTTGAAGCCTGGGTTACACCAAGCAATACATGTGTTTTTTTAATGACTCCCCCACTTCCAAGTCTATTTCTATACAACTCACTTGTTCACCTTTTATGTGGAGGGCTCCAGAATTATAGCTCTGTTCAATTCCCCTGACTTTAGTGAGAAAGAATCTGAACGGGTTCCCTCCATTCAGCAAATCCCAGGTATCTTGGGCTTCACTGGGAGCTCCACACCACTCCTCAGCCTTCTGATTCCCTAGGAGCTCATTTTTTTGGTGAAAATCTGGAGGATGCTCTTCGGGTGAATTGTTCTTCTCTTCTTTCACTGTTACTTTGTGCACCTGCTTTTCCTTGTCTTCAGGCTCTTCATCACTGCTAGAAAGACACCAACCGGAGCCTTCTTGGCCATGTCTCTGCTTCTCTACTGGCTGCCTTTCTGTGGGAAAACCTTTATCGATGAACTTCAGGGGAGAGGCCTTCCTCTTGTGAGCAGCTTTCCTGGCCTCGGAGCAGGGATACTGCGGCGCGCTGGCCCTGCCTTGGGCAGCATGTGACAGCGAGGAGGTAGACGGCTTCTCATTATCAGAAACTTCTTCGGTGCTCTCATCGCTGCTAGATACCGTCCACTTCCCATGGGCTCCTTCCTGAAGCATGTTCTTGGTGGTGGAAGGGGGAGAAAAAATACAAAAAAAAAAAAAGCACAAAATTTTACCACATTTACTGTGCTTAAGGCTATTTTCCCTCTAAACAGCGTCTTTTTTTTTATCTCTTTCTCTCATATTTAATGGGATCTCTAAATGGGATTAGGCTAGCCTCAGCAGGCATGGGGCTACCTCACAGTACAGAAAACTCATTTGCTTTTGCACCGTGGGATAAATAAACCCTCCTAACAGCGGCAAGCACCGCAGGACAAGCAGCTAGCACATAAAGGTGCACATGGAAGGCTGTGAGGGGAGCACGTGCGCAAAGACAACTTAAAAAATGAAATGAACGACTTCCACCACACGGGCGCCCACCACAGCACGGCTGCCGCCAGGCCCAGCGCCCCTGACCGTGCAGGCGCCACGCGCGGCAGCGGTTGCAACCGACCTGGCACGGCAAGAACGGGGAGCCGAGGGCACGCGGGGCGAGGGCGCAGGCGGCAGGGCCGGGGCCGGGGCCGGGCCGAGCCGAGCCGAGCGCGGGGCCCGCCCGTCCCGGAGCCCCCGGGTGCCAAGAGCCCAACGGCCGCTCCCGCCCGCGCCACTCACCTCAGCGCGGCGCCACTGGCCGCCAGCGCCCGCCCCTTCCCCTTCCGGCAAGGCTCCAACACACGCGCGCGCGCAGCCCCCAGCCAATAAGAGCCCGCTCCGTTTCCGCCGAGCCAATAGGCGCGCTCGGGCCGCGATGGCCGTTGGCGCCAGGGCCAATAGGCGCCGGCGGCGCGCGGGTTGCTAGGCAGCGCGCGGCCCCACGCGCGGCGGGCACGGCCGTGGCGCGCGGAGCGTGTCCGGCCGCGCGGCAGAGCGGCTGGGAAGCGAGTCCCGGCAGAGCGGGGGCTGCGCCAGGGCCGGCGGCCGCTAGCAACGGCACATGCCTCCCTGTGGGGTCTCTTTAGTCTAACTTATTACCTGTTGACACGTGACGCGCGTGTCGCCCGTGGGAGCGAAGCAAAACCGCAAGCCGCGCCCGGCGAAACTCGTGCCCGCCGTTTCCTTAGCGTTTTCCTGCCGGTCTCCCATGCGGTTTGCCTGTTGTGCTGCTTCCCGACGCAGCTTGGCCGTATGCTCCTTGAGACCCCAATATGAGGACATTTAATGGTCCGTCAGGGCTTACTGAAGCTCTCCTCAGGCTGAAGGCCTCTCAGGAGAACCAGATCTTCGCGTTAGGTGTTTAATTTCTTACATTCCTCATCTAAGCATAGAGTGCAGGAAGGTTTGACATTAATTGGACTCATGGCAGTAGCTTCAGCTGGTGTGAGATAAGGTTTCTGACTGAGGCAGGGTTGATCTGCTGCAGCTGGTTTTAAATAGCATGGCTCATTCTGTAAGTACCTGCTTTACTCTTCCCTTAATATCACAATAAGTAAAAACTTGTATTTTAGATCAAAGGTTTTTTTAATGTAAACATTTTAATAGTATTTTGAAGCATGTGATGAAGATATCAAAGGTGGCTTAAGCTTATTTCAAGGTACTGTAGGAATGCCCTTTGTTTACAGACCCTCAAAGGCACATATGTTTATCATTTATGTTCTGAGGATTCAGCACCTATGGATGAGTCATTGGGAACACTCTTTATAGACTGGGCTGCACTGGTCTCAGTGGACAAGACAAAGGTTGTTAAATGGGAATGTGTCCAGCTTGAGGAAAATTAGTTATCTGGAAGTGTTTCTGGGGCAATATTCAAACCACTCTCTACCTGGCTGAGAGTTTATTTCTCTAGGCTGTGGTTAGCAGAAGGATGCACTGTGCAGGTATGGAATAATTGATATTCTGAGCTTATTCAAAAGCTGGAGATGAGATCTAAGTTACTGTTTTTTACTAGTTTAGTGATTAGTTTTTACTAGTTTAGTGATGTGATCTATTTACTTTGTGGTACTATTTGACAGGAAAGTACTGCGTGTCATAAATGAATTCATATTCTTAAAAGCATAGATATTTTGGGTACTAAGTGAAAGCTTTAGCCGTGACAGTATAAATCAATAACAGCATGAAGACACTAAGGAAATAAAGGTTTATTGAAAGAAACCATGTGCTGCCGTAAGAAGATAAATGAGAAATCACATGGTTAATGCAATTTTGTAAACTGTTTCTACTGTTGTAGTATAAACAATATCAAAAAGAGCATAAAGAACACATCAGTTAAATGTTAAAGTGGGGAAAAATGCATTAAAGTGTAAAAATAGTCATCTCTGATGTATTTCAGCTGTGGGTGAGCATTTCTCAAATCAGGGAGAAATCTGGTGTTTTTTTTTTTTTTAATAAAAATAAAAAGGAGATGGGAGCTTGGGGTCTTAATTGAGTCTTAACTGCTGAATTCTGACCATGAACATGCTGAGCTTCTCCTTACCCTTGTTGAATGGCAGACTTCATCTTAAACTGCACCCTAAGCTATAGGCAGGCCTTGCTTTAGGCATTGATATGCCTGAACTTGAGAGCTCTGTTCTTGGCCCGGCTCTGAACTGTGTTGGTCTATCTGGCTTTCACCTGTGAGCAGTCACTACCCAAGAACTCCTCCGAGAACTTGGAGTCAGAACCCAAGTTCTCCTGTTTGAATTCTCCGAATGTTTGTTCAGCAGGAACTCTCAGAGTGTGCTCACAGCATTGAAAGCCAACCCCTTTCCATGAGACATCTCCTGCTTGGAAAGAGACCAAAATGGGGGCTCCCTGGGGCCCCCGAAGGGCTTCGAGTTTAGGTATTTCTTCCTGGGGAGGTGCCAAGTGACGCCTGCTGTGTCCCACTGCAGGCTGTGACCACCTTAGCCCTAGGCCCTTCTCTCTGTGCAGCGGCACAAGAACTCATGAATGATGTTGGTTCCCAGTCTGTGCTCTTGGGGTTGCTAGCGCTTAGGTGGTCCCAGCTCCAGGAATGTTCCTGCCTCCAAGGACTGGCTGTTCATGCGGTTGTGCAACACGAGGAGCGCACTGCACGGTCGGGCATTTTGCACCTCTAACTGGTGTGTATCAACTGTGGGGCATGGCGTGTCCACATCTTTTGTGTCTCCTTGCTGCCTAGGCCTTGCATTTTCTTCAGCATTTTCTGGGTTTAATCTATTTCTGAGAAACATTACCTTCTGCATGCACCACTTAGGAAGCAAATGCAGGATTTAAGTTTTGATTGATAGGGTCTAGCTCTCGACTATTAATGCCAAATTTACGTTGTTGTCAAAATGACCAACATCAAAGACTGTACTTACAACATTTGTAGTTTTTCAGAAGTGGCTAAAACCAGTGACACTGACACAGTGCTTAGAGCAGCTTTTATGAGAAGTAGGAATTGGTGTGTATATGTTATAGTTAAGGCAAAATTGTTTCCTAAACCACAGGACACAGTAACATGTATTTATTAGCAGAAATGACAATTGTATAGCATTGCCTGCATTTTTAATAAATTAGTAAATTGCTGATACATCATTTTTATGGAGCGGGTTTTTGTTTCTTTAAACAAGAAGTAATACTGATTTTTCCCACAAGATGTCACCAAAAACGCCTTTAGTGCAAGAAATGTGAACTAAGGATTTGAATTACATTCTACTCCTTTAAAATCATTTGATGAAATTTAACAAAAACCTATTTCCATTTTTTAATAAAATACTGATTTTTTTTGTTGTGGTTCAGAACTTGCTAATATTTAAAATTAAGCTACTGAGACAGATAGTTAGGAAGGCATAAAAATGGAATGAGATAAAGCTGCTTTTTTTGGGCTGATTACGTACATTTGTCGGCATGTACAAGTCACCATTTCTGGAAACTCACAGCATTGTGGGATTTTGCTAGCAGGAACTGATTTTTTTTTTTTCTTATTAAAATTTGGTTCAATGGTCCCCTTTGCACCCAAACAATTTGAATTGGTCTAAAGTGCTCTGGTATCAATAACCACTCAGCTTGATAAGTGCACATTTGGATCTTCCATGTCTCGAACAAAAAGGGTCCTATAGGAATAGCAGTTTAAGGCAGAAAAATCTGTTGGCTGATGTAATCTGTATCCAAAATACCTAAAATATCACCTCATTAAGATGTTTTTGTGCCAGTTGCTCTCCTGGCATGCCTTGCTGCAGCCCGGGAACATTTTTGGCATGTTAGCTACATAAACATCTAAGTATCGTTCCCATGTTACTATGAGGAAAGAAAGAGGTAAGATCCTAATGAAAGGCAGTAAAGGAGTTACGTACAACACAATATTAAACAGGAATGGGCAGGCTTCAGGATGGTTGTAGGAGAAATTGGGTGATGCAAATGTTGTATTTCCCCTTTTTTATCTCTGTTTTTTTCTTTTTTTTTTTTTTTAAAGTATTTTACCATATGAATCTTAAACTACTTTCCAGGAAATGCTTTGTTTCCAGTATGACTGTTGAGACAAACCTCTTTCTTTGTTTCAAGGAAATCACAAATTTGAATGCTGAAAAATGAAAAAAAAAATTTATGTATTTTTTTTGTGCAATTCTACTCCTATCTGTGTAAAGTTAAATATATTTGTTTAGCATACTGTGGTTGGTTTCCCCTCCTGCAGGTGGAAGTGGATTCAGCAGCGTCGTGTATGTAGCCAGAGCATTCGGTAATACACAAGGACTGAGCTCTCAGTGATTCCTACTTCTTTTCATTCATCGTTTTAATAAATCAATAGCTTAGACTGTCAGGAGTTTTGAAGAACCTGGTGTATTTACCAATAAATGAGCTGCGCACGGTTGTTAATCAGGATCAGAGGATTTCATTTAGTTTTGGAATACTTGCGATGGTTTTGTAATTGACTTTTGAACTTATTCTTACTTCTCAAAGTGACCCTTCTTAATAGCAGCATTACATAAGTAGGGGTGATAATATAGAGAAGTAATTGGTAATTTCAGGTGTTCAACTGTCAGGTAACTTAAAAGGATTTATTGCCCTTTTTTTGATACTGTTCCACTGGATTCTTAGCTGAGTGAGTACTGGAGTCTTACACCACAGTTCGCTATTTC